GGGTGATACCCAACGTGTCAGGAATGTCTCTTCCAAAAAAAAAAAAAAAGGAAAATAAGGAAGACAAAGTATCCATCTACTTAAATGTGAGCCTTAAATCAGGCTAAAAAAAACCCTACAGTAGTTATTTAATCTAGAGCTTCTGTGAGACCAGGCAACATGTCATAGAAGCGTACTTTGTGAGGCTTCAGCTAAAGTTTAAATCAGTCTATTTATGACTCTAGCACATCCACAGCGCAGTATTCATCCTCAGTGTGGAAGCTGGATTGATGCTGCGAGAGGCGCGTAGACAAACATTGGCAGCTACATCATGTTTTTGAGTTATGTATATAAGTCACAGTCTGTTTGTGGGGATTTCCTAGATAGAAAAAAAAGGACTCAACTGTCTTCCTGCGAGACGATTTCTATTGTGTTCAGCGAAGTCCACATCGTGCAGTTTGTGTAAAGCTGTGTCGCTCCTTGAGCGCCATCTGTTTGAGCTTCATTCAGTTTGCACATTTACTAGCTACAAGTGCGGTAGTTGATCTCTCAGTCTATGATGAAAGTTGTGAAGCACCCTACAGACCCACAGCCTGTGAGCCGTGCTCTTTAAGATGTTAACATTTTGTTTCTATGATCTCTCTATGACAGTGAACTTCACATCTTCAGCTTTTAGACACAAGTCAACACAATCTCAGGTTCGGTAGACATTCATCACCGTTTGTGGACCGAAGAAAAAGTGAAGGCATTACTGAAGTAGACAGATGAATGGAAAATGAAAATAACTACTTTGTGTTATTAGTCAGGTAGAGGCGGCATCTGTGAGCTCATTTTCTTGTAAACAACAAATATGATTGTCCAACAGTGAGCTGGATATGATCTAGTATTTACACTTGCATGAGACGGAGCACACTCATTTATCACATCTATGTTTACAGTACATTCTCCCCTCATATTATTAAGACAACACTTTACAAAAGAAGAAGAAGAAGAAGAAGAAATCATTCTTCACCTGTTTGATGGTCCCCTTGTCCAGATGTTTCTTCATGGCTTTCTTGATGAGAAACTTCTTCCTGTCGAGCTCCATCTCGGGGTATTTTTTAAGGATATATTTCATGACAGACTGGTACGAAACCCCAGACCTGTCGTTACAAGCCTGCAAACACAACAAGTCACAACAGTCATTACTTGAACATGAACACGGGGGGGGGAACAGACAGATATGACACATTACTGACTGTGGAGAAATGTTGATTGATTGGGAACACACCGTAATGGCTTCGATGAGGATATTATCCACTTTGTGCTGAGTTCCTGCAAAGTTGGTAACGGGAACCTTTTTGCTGCCGGTGACACTAGCCCACGCAGGAATCGTCCGTTTCACTCTTTTGGTTTTGGACTTCTCGTACTTGTAGCCATCCTTCAGCCTGTCACCGAAAGGAGCAAGACACAAAATCAGTGAAGGAAGTTGTGTCTTTTAGAGGCGATATTTCACTGTGATTGTTACCACCCTTATCTCTATCACATCCTCACCTTAGTAGGAGAACATAGCAGTGTGTTGCACACTGTCCAGCCGCGCAGTCCTTGCATTTGTCACTTTAGTCCGTTTGTCACCGACAGAAAAAAACAAAATGGAGTTTGAGAACATCTGTCTTAATGATCATCATAGTAATTGGACGCTGAATCAATTTGCTACTGCAGTGTGCTATGTGCAGGAAGGTTAACGTTTGACTTTGTTGAAGTCTGGGAGAAGGAAAGGAGGAGAAATAAGTGGAGTTACAAGCCGTTAACTTGTAAAACCAGGTTAAATTTCCCTTAAATATTCGAAATATTAAGTTTTTCTGCTTTGTTCCTCTAAAGGGTTTCCGGAAATGTTTTGGGGATTTTTTTTTTTCCTGAACGAATATTTCTTGTATAGAAATAGTGAAATGTGAACTGAGCTGGTAACAAATGTCAAACTTCAGTGACAAAGACATCCACTCCTCCTTAACTCCTCCGAGACTGTGGACAAAGGGAACATCTGTCTGATATGCGTCTCATGAACATGGCTCAGACAGGTCACATCTTTTAGAAATGCAACACCGCAACCACGAGGGGAGCAGTCTGCCGTTATCCAGCAGAGGCAAGGATAATATAAACAGATAAAAGTGCCATCAGAGTGAAATATCGCAGTGGTCAGAGTGGCAGGTGAGCTCTCTGGTGAAACTCACTCTTTCTTCTCGCTCGCTTCGCCTTCTTTCTCTGCCACTGCGTCTTCTTCGTCTGCCTTTTCTCCATTCTCTGTGGGCTCCGTCTCGGCTGCACTCTTGGCTTCCTCGACGTCTGCTGTGGCGGCCGAGGATGCCGCCGGCTCCTCGTCGGCAGAGGGGGACTCCTCCGAGGACGCTTCAGGCTCTGGGAGAGGAGAGTAGAGATGTTTTAATACCGTGGCAAAAAGAAAGTATATGAACGAATCTTCAGACAGTTTTACGTTGTGCTTGTTCTTTTTGCAAAGTTCGGTGGTAAAATTGGCATACAGAAATAAATGTTAACTACCCAACAGCCAACAACAAAAATGTGATACGAAAGGGGCACAGCACACATCAGCTGAAAGAGGGATGTTGCAGCGTGACTTTAATTTATTTTTAATCAGTCCTTAAAATGAGGACTTTGTCATCCTTACAATGAAGTCAAAGGTCAATGCAACAGCTACAAGTTGTGTTTTCCTTCTATTATGACTGGTTTCCATACTGTGAGGCACTGTGTGCAGATTGTATACATCCCCTGGTATGTCTCAACACTTAGCCTCAGAGATTTAAATTAAAAGCTGAAATTGTCTTGCGATGGAAGTTGGGAAAACAGCTGTTCAAACAGTAATTCTAATGGCTTGTCACAGTATTTGACTATCTGGAGTGATAAGATTAACAAACAAGTGAGTCTGCATATTCTTTCAATTATGATTTTCTATTTGCAATTCAAAAGGAAAATATATATCTTGTTTTTCTTTTATTAAAAAGGAAGCAAAATAAAATAAAAGAAGGATAAGTATTTGATTTTAGTTATGTTGTTCTCTGGTGTGGAGTATCTGCGGTGATGGGAGGTTCACACACTTTAAACTCAATTTTAATGGAATGACTGTTTTTCAGTGATGATGGTGCGTTCAGGGGTCTTCAGGTGATGGACAACCCCGGCCTAACCTTTCTCTGCAGCGGCGGAGGGGGGGGCCTTCTCCTGGGTCGCAGTCGCTGGCGCTCGGCGAATCGGCATTACACGAGATTTACCTGCATGGAGGGAAGAAAAAAAACAATAACATTACCTGTGCAGTAGGAAAAGCAAGCACAGGCACACCGCTGGTTCTGGGGGGGCAACATCTGGGGTTAGGTGCGTGGTTAGTAATGGAGGGACTGACAAACCCACTTAATTCATTGGGGCCCATTATCTCCAAAACAGAAGGAAAATGTGCATCGGATTTCGCCTGCGTTCGCCACCTAAGAGACTGTTCATTTATCTCTGGCTCACCCGCCATTACGTGCCAATACATTTTCAATCATTTCCACACGAGCCAGAAGATGAGTTGCCAAAAATATTCGTAAATTTCGCCATTTTGTCGGGTTGGTTTACACACACAGTAATGGCGTCGCACAAGGAAGATAAAAATTCATTTCCAGTTGCAAAGCGGAGGAAAAAAAAACGCACCACGCTTGCGGGTTTTCGAGCTTTTCCGTCCATGCACCTGCACGTTTGGCAAATACGTATCGTTAAATAAATAACACTTACCCAATACTTTACGAGAAAAAGTGAAATACTGTGAAGTAAATTTCTGCACGATCCTTTATTTAGAGTTCTCTGTTTACGAGCCCCGCCCCATTAGGTCCGTTGGTTACGTACTTACGTAGCAGCGTCACCGGAACGTCAAAGGATTCCCACTGTCATGGCCGCCGTCACCAATCGTCGAAACCACAGACATAAAACTCCAACATTAAAGATTTTATATCAACTTTGGGCTTACTCGGCGTCTCCCACCGTACATGTCAACACAATTTAAACATGTAATTGTTTTTACCCGGGTTGATATGCCCTCCCTAAATATAAGAACAGTGAAAAACTTCATTTCTGATAACATTTTGAGTAGTCGTCTATTGCCAAGGCTCATGGGAGCTGTAGTTGTTTAACGCTAAGCAGTGAGTACAGTAGGAGACGCACATTTAGTATAAAAAAAAACAACACTTTGAAAACAATACACACACAATTAAGCTTTCTGAAAGTGTGGGAAAGTAACTACATAAATGTTGAATGTCTCTTAAAACTGAGTACTTATCCATTAATCACAAACATCCTTCTGTTTCTGAATCAACACATGACACTTCATCACATTTCTCTGGAGATTAGCTTCTTTTTTTGCTCATTATCGCATCGCTGCTGTATGAATGAAGTGTATCTCAAATGACTCCTTTGGGCTGCTTATTGTGTCATTCAATGGTTAATGGACCCGACTTGTATAGCTCACAATCAGGAAACTACACGGTTTTCCAGTCACTTGACATCTGGATTAAATTTGCCAGATCTAATCTTAATGTTCACAATGGGAGTCTTAAATTCTGTGTGGATGATCCTAAAACATGCGAGTGTATACCATCATGAAGAGCGCAATAAAACTCCAGGGATGTGACCACCAAGTGGCCACACTTAATGTTGAAATATGACCACAATGAAACACATTTCAAATGCAAAATAAATCATCTAGAAACCACTCGTTTTAAAATGTTTGTCACAGGAGGACAAAATGAACGGCTGCAATAAAGCAGAGACTCTGATTGAGAGTTCATTCATAAAGATTTGTCATGCTTTAGTGGCTCTCCCAGTGACTCCTGCTGCTCCTGGTCGGATCATGCAGCTCTTCTTCTTAGGATGATGAGATGTCTTTGATGGGAAAGCTTAATAATGGCCCCAGATAACCACACATACAAACACATTGAAGACAGAGTGTGCAAACCACATCTCCAAAACACCAGCCACCAACACAACAAATGATGAGAACAGGGTTTTTAAATACCTTTTTTGTCTTTAATGTATTTACAAGCTTTAATCTGCTCTGTAGGTCTTAAGTATTACAAGCATGTTCATGTTCAGTGACCCTGGCCATTTGCTTTTTAAAGTTGCATTTTTGCTCATGTATCCGCTTTGTTCGTCTGCGTTTGTTTTTACAGTTCTGTGCACTGACTTGCATCGCTTCTTGAATGCATACCTCTACCTCTCACAAGGTGTATGTACATAAACAACGCAGAGCAAGCCAAGACTGCGGGGAACACTTTGTTGTTATCAGAACAAAACCTTTGACTTTAAAACGTCATACACGGACAACGTTAATAGTTTCTTTGCATCTTTGCTCCTTTTTTTTATTTTTTTATTTTATCTCTGCTCCCCCGTCATCCCAAAATAACTTTGTTTGACCCTGTTTTAAACCAAACAGTGTGGAATCCAGGGAGGCTAATTATTTCACAATTATTATTTTGTTATTATAATGAATTATATTGTTATTTCTGTTGTCTCGTTCTCATTTGTGAGCCTCTGCAAACGTTAAATAACTTTCGTATTTGCAGTCCTTAAAAAAATAATAAATTAAAGAGTCCAGAACCTATGTATCTTTAAGTCTCTTCTTAAAAAGTAACAAAAGAAAAGTAAGTTAAAATTTAAAACAAAAATATTTTCTATGTATAATACAGGTATTTAGTGCTTCCGCCGTTGGAATCCAAACTCAAAATGGCGGCATGTTTCAGAACCGTACCGCAGAAAAAAATTCCAGCCGTAAACATGTCGTCCTGCCCATACACCAATTCTGAATGTTTTTTTTGTTTGTTTTGTTCTGTAAGGATGCAGTTCTTCTACGCCGAGTCTCCCGGGTGTCCCTCTCTTGTCAATTGTCTTCCGACTCCTCCTCCGCTTCACGCAGCCAGGTGAAGAAGGCCGTGACGGACTTGAGGGCCACGCCCTTACCATGCTGCTCGGCAGGGTCTTTGCTCGTCTCCCACTTGTAGAAAGCGTCCTCCGAGATGACGTCCTCGTCATACAGACAGTCAAAGAACATCCGGAGAAGATCTGCAGGACAGAGAGAGGGCGAAGACACAGCGGTGAGGGGAGCCTTTTGAAACACGACGTCTTCATGTTGTGAAAATACGCATCATGAATGTTCCTATTTGGTGAAAGAGTACAAAAAGAGTAAACCCTGCAGGATCCTAGAATCCACACAGAGTTCAGAAGGTCTGCTTTTACGCACCAAACACTTGGAATTTACTTCAAAGACATTTTAAGATAACAATGAAAATAACACGTAGACAATTCCAAGTTTGAATTTCTGATCTCATTGATGTGAAATGTTTTTGCTTTTAATATTTGAATTGTTCTGACTATTTTTAATCCATTTCATTTTATTTTCTTGCCTTTTAACTGCATGTATGAACTTCTAGTTGTATTCTTGCTGATTTCTTGTCGTTACACCCGAGCCCTCTATTTTATTCGTATCTCGCCTATTTTCTATTGTTTTTTTGTTTTTTTTAAAGATTTTTTTTTGTGCCTTTATTGGAGAGATGACAGGACAGTGGATAGAGTTGGACATTTGGGAGAGAGGGAGTGGGGAATGACATGCAGGAAAAGAAGCACAAGTTAGATTTGAACCTGTGCCGCCCACTTGAAGGACTACAGGCCCCATACATGGGGGGATCGCACTAACCACTGCGCCACTAGCGCCCCCTCTTTTCTATTCTTGTCTGTACCTCGGCACCATCGCAAATGAAGGTTCTCCCTAAAAGCGTTTTCCGTTGATTTAAATAAAATAAATGATGGTGATGATGATATCGAGATACTTTTTCTCGACCATTAATACTCCTTAAGCATAGATAGATAGATTGATACTTTATTGATCCCAAGGGAAATTCAAAATCGGTGTCAACATCATTTCAAATTGGTTGTAATAACAAAAGAGGGTTCTCTGACAAGAAATCTAGAGAGAGATGAAAAGACAAAGAAGAAGTGAAGCATGATGCAGCACTTACTTGGAGGCTGATCGAGGGCGACGATCAGCGCCTGAAGTGCATAAAGTGCTTGCAGCTGTCGCTCAGTGTCTGAGTTAAGGTACTTCAGTAAAACGGGCAACCTCCTCTGGATGATGGCCGTGTCCACTCGACAGTTGGTGTTATCATCTGTTTGGAAAAGCAGGAGGTGGAGTGAGTGCACGCTGAGACGCTCCGCACGCAGTTTGGCAAAGAGTAAATATTGCAATCAGGGGTGAGATTTTGAGCAGAATGGAGGGATGGCTCCTCCGGGTGTTCGAGTGTTTACCTTTCACTGCTGCCTTACACACAGCTGTCATCAAAGCACGCAGGAAGGGAGACGAGCTCATCTGAGAGTCATCAAGGGTTGCCTGGGGGAAAAAAAAAAAGTAGTCTTAGCATTTACAAAATACACTAAAGTCCTTCAATAGTGAAACATGCAACCATATATTTCATGTTCAACGGGGCTGATGAGTATTAAAGGAGCAGTGTGAGTGCAGTGCTGTGGCAAGACTTTCACTGAATTTTGAAGCCACAGATGACAGATGCCTGTTTCTTGGAGAACAGTTTCTAAATGTTTTTCACTGCACTATGTATGTTGGATGCTCTAACCTTCTAGAAGTTGCAGAATCACCAGTGTCTGCCTGCACAAATAATGTACCTGTACAAATATAAATCCTATAAATAAGCAACACTGTATCAATTAGCTGCAGCACATTAAACCAATGAATTATAACGCTGTTATCTTGAGAGGCTGGATTAAATGCATTTTAAAAAGGTATTAAAATGTTTTAGAAGAGATTTGAAGTGTGGCTCCATATGATCAGGATCAATGCCAAACACAAGCAATGCAACGCATGTATACACAAAATGACACATTGATGCCAAGACAGGCAACGTTGTGAGTTTTACACATTGAAAAAGAACAAATAAAGAGCTGAAAGTTGATTGTTAGTACGAATTTTCATGAAATTCATTCATCTTGGTAACTTTGTGAAATGTATTATTCAAGTCTGTCTACCACCTGTTAGCACTCCTACTTTTGGGTGTCTGAAGCTGTAACCTTATATGGGTGAAACACCTAAATTGTAGCAGATCTTTATTTGTGTAAGAGCCATCCATATGTTGTCAACAACTGTTTTCTAGACAGAGAGTCTACATCTGTTACGCATACAAATCAGTGTCATGTCATCTTTATTGTTTTATAGTGATGGACCCAAATAGAAAGGAATTTGTGGGTTGCACCTTTTAACAGAATATAAGCAGCACTGTGAACACTGTTACTTTGTCAGTGATTTGGAAGCATGCGTGTTTGGTGAAGTTGTCTGACCTCGGCCGATTAAATGGTGTTATAATCTACAGTCTGTTTCACGATTTCTTGGATTTATACAGCAGAAACAACCCCCACCTAACACTGATCCTCTGCTCCACAGCAAGAAGGAGAGCGGGCCGTAGTACGTGTTCTGAGAATTCAAAATCACCTGACGTCACAGAGCATCAATCTAAAAGTCCACCATCTAATTCATCAAATATAACACTAGAGGATGGTGCTTTGTTGCCTGGGATTTAAGCAGGTAATGTTAAGTAAAAATAAGAATTCAGCCAACTTGTACATAGTTGTTTACTGTTATAGGTTAGCTGACAGGTTATTAAAGTAGCCTCTTAAACAATGGACTGCACCACATGGATTTTTGTCACTAGCAGAGTTTGGGTCCTTTTGTATACATGTTCTCACTTCTCGTACCTCCACCCAGTCAAAGATCTGCTCGTCACTGGCCATGTCCTCCAGGAGGAGCCTCTCCAGCTGCTGGCTCAGCTCCTCAGGAGACAAGATCGTTTTACACTGAGACGCCTCGGAGCTGGAGCTGTCCAACAGGACGAACTGGAGCTTCTGTTGACATCAAAAAGAAAGACGGTTTTTATTACGAGGATGAGACTGATAATAAGGAAAAAGTGCTGAGATGGAAAAATAAAGGAGAAGGAAGAACAATGGGAGAAGTGTGTATTGATTTTTCCTGTTGTTAGTTGAGTGCCCACCTTTTGTGAGATGAAAGCCTGGACGTCCTCTTCCTCTGGAAGTAAGTCGCTCCAGTTGAGGCCAGATTCCCTCCACAGAGAACCTACAGTCCTATGGCTCTGTGAGGACCAGACAAACTCATTTCAACATTTTAATGCCTGAAATATCTTATTCCTACTGTCCGGTTTTAACAAGGCTTTTGAAACAAGCTACAAATCGAAAGGGCGAAATAACAAATCAACTTAAAGGCTGGGTTGGTCATTTTCGAAAAACTAGCATGATTCGGAAAGTAGCATTCCCTCAGTGCTCCGTCTACACCCAAATAAAATCCATGAGTAGGTCGATCTTTTACCTTAATGGACACTAGAGCAAACAAAGATTGAAGACTGCCCGCTGAAGATAATTACACAGTTGTTTAAAATGAGAGCTTGCAACTTAAAAAACACAAAGACGTTTGTCACTTACCATTTGTTTGCATAGTGTGTGCAGTAGTTCAGAAATTAAGATCCCAGCTCTTCCCACAGGAAGCAAAGGTTTGCTTAATTCACTGTGAACAAACACACAACAGAATTAGAACACGAGTCTGAGAATCATTCTCACTTTAAATAGAAAAAAAAAGAAGATAAATAACTCTCATAATGTATTCTACTGGAGATCTGGTCCAATCAGTTTCACTTTGAGATGCTTGTTTTATTTTTCCTGTCCAGATTGTTATTGTTGCCCTAAAACTCTGAGTCACTCTTGGAAATGGGAAATCAAACGAGAATCATTAACAAGACAATCCTGTCCCCTGGAAAACGACTCTTGTTAACTCAGTAATTATTAATAAAAATGGTTTATTGTGGTTGTAAACAGAGCAGAAACATCTTAAACTAATTCTGACACTAAGCTGAAGTTATCAAAATCAGCACAACTCAGTTTCACAAATGGTGGTCATTCAAACACTTTGACAGGTTCACATCATAGCTCTTAGTACCTAAAGAGCTCTCTCATAGAGAAGCCCCCTTCCCTCAGCACGGGGCTGAGCAGCTCGGCCAGGTAAAGCCAGATGTGGGGAATGTCGATGGACATGTCATCCGCCTGCTCCAGCGTTTCTGCAAACCTGAGAAAACAAAGAAAACACAGAACTGTTAGGACACCACTTGAAGCAGTTATACCTTTGTACCTGTGGTTGTAAAAGTGACACACACACATATACATATAAATATCCAGGAAAATTCCCAGTGAGCTTCTGGCAGAGGTGCATGTATGATTTCAGGGGCAGTCAGCCTGAAATGTTCTAGAAATTTGCATGAGAATGTGAAATATATGTGTAAGAGTAAAGGAGAACTGACCCTTTGCAGAACTCGGATTGGGGCAGGAGTCCCTTCTGCAGCAGCTGGAAGAACAGCTGGCCCATGTGGTCCCGTGTTATCTGACTGCGCTCCAGAGTCGACTCCACCCCGACGTGCACGAAGATGTGCAGCTGAGAGCCCAACTGAAGCTCGTCCACACACTGAATGGCTTCCTGCAGGACACAAAGAGAAAGGATCAAGACCGAGAGGAGGAGGGGAGGGGCTTCAACACAACACACATTCGAACATTGAGATTTATTGTTGGGATTAAGTAGGAAGATTACTACTATGAACTAATCAATCCTTTATGAAATGTTAGTTAGAGATAAAAAGTACAGTGTGTCATTCACTCTCAGTACCTTGTAGTCATTAATGTGCAGGAACTCGTCTATGATGGATTTGGACTTCCTCTGCAGCTCCTCCTCTGACAGAGCCGGTCTGTCAGGGATCTGAACCACTGGCTCAGGTTTCACTGTTCAAATGAAATCATCAGTCATGTTTGTAACAGTAAAAAAAAAAAAAAAGAGATGCATTATCACGATAAAAGATAGAAAATATGAATCCCTAGAGATAGTTTGACTAGAAATAAACGGATGTTCATTGTTGTTGTTGTTGTTGTTGTTGTGTGGCACTGCGTGTCTCACCAGGCTCCCTGACTCTGATGCGCTCGGGTTCTGTCTTATCCTCGCTGACACTCGGTCTGCGGGGCTCGGCTCCCTCTCGCCCTCGGTCTCTCCGCGGCTCCTCGGGGGTCTGAGTCTCCAGCAGCTCCTTCGAACTGCTGCCCCTGACGAAGGATCCGGGTCGAGACGATGGAGGGGCGGAGATCAACGGCTTCTCACTGCGTTCCCTCCCTGTACTGCTGCGAGTGCTGAGAGAGGAGCAAACAAGAAATAAGGAATAGGAAAGGAAAGGAGGAGATAAGAGTCGACAGAATGGTTTAACAGGAGCTCTAAATGTGAGCCTGACACCGTCCTGTACCTTCCCAGAGTTCTCCTGGAGTCAAAGTCCTGGTTCTGGGGAGGAGTGGTAGAGGGTTGAGGTGAAGGCGTCTGTTGCAGCGCAGAGTAACGATTGAGGCCAGCTGTCCGTGATTGTTCTGAGAGAGAAGACGCGAGATAAGTGACCAGAAAAAGGGTAAATGATCATAGAGTTTGACTTGCAGGACGTTATTTTTGCAGCTTCTGGTCTCAGAATCAAAACAGAAACAGTCACACAAGAAGTAGTTTGATGATGTTGAGGACTAGTGTGGGATCATGGGAGTTGCTGTTCTCATTGAAAGACCAGCTATGGTTTTGCTGAAAGATATTTCTTTCTTTCTGAAATACTGACCGTAACTGTTCAACATGTTGCAGGTGAAATCCAAACATCCCTCTAGTGTACCTCCGTTGTTTCAGTTAAGATGATTGACATGTTTTTCTTACCGGAGTCGCTGGCTTTGGCTCCTCCACTGCTGCCTTTCACCCACGTGACCTGAGCCCGAGGGCCCAACTGGATCTTCTCGTCCATTTGAGGCTGCAGAGAGAAAAACACTTTTTTAGATCAGGTAGAAAAAACTAATTTTAATGTGCAACTCTGCCAGAAAACAATACACATTATCGAGTGTTGATGTTAATACTTCATACGTCACTTCATCCTGATGCCCTACACTTGATAAAAAGCCATGTTTTTGATTTTTTAAAGTTAGATTTGTTCCTTTTTGCCTTTCTTAGAGAGGAGAGATGAAGAGAGAAACGTTGGGAGGAGAGCATAGGGGATGACATGCAGCAAAGGGCTGAGGTCAGATTTGAGGCCACTAAAAAAGAAATCTGTCAAATGTGAGTTCTCAAGCACAGTAACTTTAATCCACTGGAGGGAGCTCTAAAAATAATTTTACATTTTTCTCTTTTACACAGCAGTACCTCATGCACCCAGCGGGGGGCCTGAGTACTATTGTACACAGAAACCACAATAATGTAGCACAGATGATGGCAGGGACAGAGAGTGTGTGTGTGAGAGTGTGCGCTTGTGTGTGAGAGTGTGAGAGTGTGAGTGTGTGTGTGTGTGTGTGTGTGTGTGTGTGTGTGTGTGTGTTTGTGTACACATTATGAGCCACAAGATTCCTCTAGCTGCTGCTGTGTAAACATTCATCTGCTGTGTTGAGGAACTTTCCATAATAAGAACAGGAGAGCCCCCGCCCCCCCCTGCCCAGTAAAGGAGTTTGAGACTGGTGTGAAAAACTCTCCAACCTTGTCATGACATGAGGAACAACCTACAACCAATTTAACTCAATAAGACGTGAGGACACTGAGGAAACACTCAGAGTGTACCATGCAGTCTGCAACGACATCACAGACTCGTCACATTTTGGACAAGATTCATCACCAACAAGTTTTTACATAGTAATGAATTTTACTAATCCGATGGTGCAGACAACATAATTGAAAATAAAACGCAGGTAAGCAAACTAAAGGTGAACTAAAGGTGTGGAAACTCCTCCGTCTGGTCCACACAGATATACAGCTCCAGATCAAATGAAGAGGTCACTGTGAAAAACATGTTTCTCTCTGGTTCTAATGTTTAGAGGTTTGTGTTTGACTAAACATTTTCAATGTTATTGTTTACAACATTTGTCACAATTTCCAAATGAAAACACAAAGCTGCTGAATATTTCAGGCCCTGAATGATACAATGAAAACAAGTTCATATTCATTTTTAAATAATGGTATACTAATGTTTAAACTTTGAGAGATAGTAGAACCAGTAAGAATCATAATTTGGCAGCGGACTCTTAATGTTTACATAGCTATGTTCTTGATTTTTGTCTTCGTAAACAACAACAGACACTTTTGTAAATGCTATTAACCCGTGTTGAATTACTGAATTTAACCAACAACATTAGAGCGGACCCTCTGCACCCCCTTTGGTCTGAGAATGAACTTTTTAACCTTCTGGCCGCATGTATAGAATGAACAGGATGAGGACTAAAGGAGGAGTCACATCCTTTGTACCTCGCAGTATTCAGCTGCTTCATAAGCTCTGATCGTACTGTATGAACTCGGCACCCTGCACTATATTTGCTTCTGAATCCCTCGTTTAACCATGTGATGCTTTAATGATGGTCATTTGTTTGTTTTTTTAATGGCTTTGTTCTTATGTGCTCTCCTGTTTGTTTGTCTTGTGTTTTTAGGATCTCGGTGCAAGGCAAATTCCTTTAGGGGTGTATGAGAGGTATTAAGAATCCAATAAAGGATGGCAGCAATCACATCAGGGTGTCGGGTCAGGACACGATTTTGAATCAAAGGTGTGAGTGAGGAAGAAAGATGGAGAATCCAGTACGTTCAAGCCATTTATATAAAATTCAGGTGAACAGAGTACAACAAGGCATGAGTTTGAGGCCTTTGATTTTCTTGAAGTAATTGAACCTATATGTATGTGTGTGTGTGTGTGGTTCTATAATAAAATATATAAAGGAAAGACAATTAGGAATGTGACTTATACATAGAGCATTACAGAATACAGACGGCTGAAAACACTTCTGGGCATGTCTCTCTCATTGCCGTTACTTTGGATATGCACTGTGCATGCTGCCTTCAGGGGGTGCTCAGACAATGAGCGATACATTCAGGTGCACTCAGAAATAGGAGATGCAGAACAAAATACTAACCTGAACAGGCCTTTTTTACAACGGGCAATAAAGGTTTCCTTCATTGTAGATGGAAAACTATGGGACGGTGCTTTAGTGTGTACAAGCAAAACCAAACCACAAACAAGTGCAGGACCGACGCTCGCTTGTCTGATTGGGTTTTCTGAGTCCCCTCAATGGCTGACTCAGAAAAGATACAGTATACAGAGTATTAAGTATTAAGTGTGGTGTTAGCACGAGTAGAAAGAGGATTGTGTCGAGTCTCACCTTTGAGATCTTTGGGATCTTGGTGGGGTCGATGGTCCTGCTGTTCTTGGTCATGGGCACAGTGTTCCAGGTCTCTTCTCTCTGCACACGCTGCTCTCTTTGATCTCTCTGGTCTCTCTGGTCTCGGGGATCTATGACGCCAAAAAGACACACAAACACACATACAGGTAAATGCCTATTAAAGGTCAGTTAGATTCACATGTAAAAGTAGATTCATTCCCTTAAGTTAAATGACCGTGAGCGTGACATTTCTGACTGTTTCTACATCTCCAGATGAAATATAACAGGACAGCTGACAGACGGGAGGGAGTAGGGGGCTTCCCGTCTGCTGTTGGGCACAATGGCAGCGTCTCTGCCGGCTGTAGTGACAGCAAGTCTGCCTGTACGCCCGCAGGCTTCCTGAGTCACTGTAGCTGTGTGGATGTGATTCTAAGCCTTAAAGAGGATTTAGACTGGGGGCCTGACCTGGCCGTCTCTTGCTGTCCTTGGAGAGCAGCTGCTGGTGCACTTTTCTCTGCTCCTCCTGCTCCTCGATCTTTGCCTCCTTGTGGATCTGCTCGATGGTTTTGGGGCCTTGGTCAGCTCTCCTCGACACCCAGTTGTGCTGAAGGAAGAACGAAAAAAACCGAGGGTTTTATTGAAGCAGAATTTTATGGGTTCATCTACAGGTAGTTTTCAAGAAGATGACTGTTTGTAGCTCTATGCTTTGTGCTGTTTAATGTAAATACACTTTTAAGTGTTCATCTCTGCACTGCTTAAGTAGCCTTCCTCATTTCAATTTTGACAAGACAGTTTGAACGTGTCTTCCCAGCATCAAGTAGGAGACAGTGACAGTGATTTCAACAGCTTGTGTTAGTGAACAATCAAATCAATGCAGATGTCTCTCTACTGGAGACGAGACGGTTATAACACACCTATCAGGTTTAGTGAAGTCCAAGAAAAGCTTAATGTTCCTCCAACTATACTTGTTTGTTTTTATGACCAGATAAGTACTGTCTTGAAATATTCCATCAGTAATCTTTACAAGAAATCCTGCTGAAGCTGAAATTCAGCCTCATTAGTCACCATCTTTAAGGCAGCTTTTCCTTGCCACTGTCACTTTGCTAAATGTTGCTTGGTGCTGTGCTCATGGTGGATTAATGTTGGGTCTTTGTAGATAATATAACAAAGAGTAAGGTTTACACCTGCATTTTTTTGTAGATTGATTAATTGATCAGCAGTGTAATTCTTCCTCCATCAGTCTTTCTTAAGAGTGGAAACAACTCAATAACAAGAGCAGTGGTAGTTTTACTCTGCAGAATATTCAAAAATCATTTACCAGAGGGTCAAAGATCAATGAAATCAAACTCTGGGAACATTTATCGGAAGCCAAAGTGAACATAGACTAGAGGGGGGCCTGACTTTCTTCAAACTCTCTTTAGCTGGGTAGATAAAAAAAAAACACAACTTCAGACTCACCAATCTTAGGTCAATAATGTCCTGTAACATGAAGCGTATCCGAGAAGACGTCTTCCTCTCCTTGACGATTTTTTCCATCTGATTGAAATACTGATCCATCCGAGGCTGAGGAAAGTGACAGACAGAGGAGGTTAATTTGAGACATGAAGGTCACGTTCTCCATTTCTCTCGTCATTAATCGTCCGGGCTTCGGGTTTCAGAGGTTTTTCACATAATTTCACTGACCGCTCAGTTTATTACTCGGAGCAGGAGCTTTCCCGACTGCCCTGGATTAAATAGAAACATTTCAGGAGACAGGAGAATAAAAATTGTAATAGCCCAATAAGAACAGAACCAATCCACAGTAATGGCCCGGCAATAAAGTGGCCATGTTCACATTAAAGCAGATATTACCACATTTAACCAGTTGAAAGTCATCTAAAGGATGATTTAAGAACACTTTCTACATAACATCTTGATGTTGGTACACATTGTAAACCATTGAAGAGCAGCCGGAGCAGGTTTGCATGATGGGTTCACAGCAATGTCCCTGCTGGTCAGAGGACTTTGCTTTTTGCAGGGAGACTGGTAAGGATAGTGAGGATCAAGCCACACATCACAGAACAGCAGAGTGAGAGAGAGAGAGAGAGAGAGAGAGAGAGAGAGAGAGAGAGAGAGAGAGAGAGAGAGAAGCCTGAGGATCAGTTCTGTCTCTCCACAAGCGTAGGAGGACGCTCGCTGTGTCCAGCTGTGAGTCACTGGTGTCTACAGGAGAGCCGGTGAGACAGAACACAGTGGGTTGTTCACTGTGGGGACACTTTAAACCAAACTGTGGCGATATTCCTGTTCCCTCTTAAAAAAACAAGCAGTTTCTTCACTGAATTAAGCTCATATGGTGTAGGAGAGAATCAGACCAGAATTTTGTCTTTTATGTCTAAAACTGTTTCTTCATCTTAGAAAAAGCTCAACAAAAACACAATGTTTTGAGCACAGCGAGGCGAGGATAACTTATTTGAATGACAGAAAGAAAGTCACCAGCAACCTTTTCCATCTAAGGACTGATTGTATTGATTTGTTAACAAGCAGAGATAGTAAATATTTACTTCCAGAGTCTAGAAATGTAAGGTTTTGCTGCTCTTTTGTCTCAATAAGAAAGTTTAACAGACAGTCCTTTGATTTTTGTTAGAGGGATGGAATAAGCAATAAGTAATTTGAAGAAATCCGTTCGGCTCTATTTTCCAGTTTGTTCACATTCTATGGCAAAAAAAAAAAACTGATTTAAAGGGAGAGTAATCAGCACATTAATGGAAAGGGTTGGATATCCAGAAGCAGTATTTTTTAGTATTTTTACTTGATTGGATTAGTACAGTAAGTACCATTGAGCTCGTGGACAAACAGCACTCCTATCGGTTATTATGTTAACAGTCCCTCTTATGTAACGCAGGGCTTCACATAAACGCCAGCTGTTTGCCAAACAAGAGACTAGTCCTGTAATTACAGCTGGCTTCTTTTTTTCATTAAGTTGTTTAGTCTATTCAAATAGCTTGGATTAACACATATTTGACCTTTATCTGATATTAGAACTTTTATCTTTCAAATCAATACACAAGCATTAGAAGAGTGCGTGTGTGTGTGTGTGTGTGTGTGTGTGTGTGTGTGTGTGTGTGTGTGTGTGGCGGCTCAGTACTGGATACATATGAGCAAAAAACTTGAAGGAAAGAAGACTGACTGCATTAAACTGCTCGGAGAGGGAAAAGCATCACTAAGGGCAGCTGCAGGAAACACCAGGGGCATGCAATGTGACGTCTTTTATTTGAATTTAGAAGTTTTCCAAATACGCTACGCAGATGTTTATGGTCTTACTGAATGTTGTTGATCTGTTTTCTCACGATATACTCAGAAGACCAACTAGGGGAAGTTAGCAATAGCTGTAAACTCTCACTTTCATGCTCTGTATTGGAGTTCATTCAACCACATTGTGTTCCTGAAGTCAATACTGAAAATCCATGGTGGTGAAAAGACAGGACAATAATCAACATTTCCTCCTCCCCCTCACCTTGGCTTTCTCAAAGTCGAGGTCCTTGCCGATGGTGGTGAGCAGCCTGCACAGACACTCCAGCGACTCCTGATCATGGTTCTTCAGCAGCTTCACAACACAGTCGTGCATGATGGCCTCCGTCAGCATCTTCAGTTTAAACAGCTCCCCGATGAATTTGATGTTGCCGATGGAACGCCGTCGCGCCTTGTCCTTGGCCTCTTCCAGCTCTTCTTGAAGCCGGTCCCGCTCCGGCGCCTGAGGGGAGACATTATTAAATCATTTCCCTGAAACGTATACACAGAATGTCTTTTCTAGAGCCGAGCGGGCTTTTTATTTTCTCCGCTTCGCTAAAAATGCTTTGATAAAGTATGAAATCTGATGTCACACTCGAGCAGTTCCTGGATCACATACCGATGCAGCAGAGTCCAGCTCTTTCTGCTTCCTCTCAAACACCACGTCGTCCACCTTGTCTTTCTCAAACTCCTTCTGGCAGCGGTTTAGCAGCAGCTTGCGAAAGTTCACTGTGGTGTTTGGCTTGTCCGTCATGGCCACTTTGAGCTGTTCAGGAACATCAAACAAGGCAGACACAGCTCAGAAAGAATGTCAAGAAGAGTTCAGTGATACAATGTTCAATGTGGGACACCGACTAAGGGTTCTAGCAGAAGAAGATTTTAAGGATTCTACACAACTCAAAAGAGAAACGTTAATTGTTTTTAGTCGACATGGTGTTGTTCTTCTTACCGTGGCGAGGCAGCGGCACATGTTTCCGTAGGCCACAGAGAAGCTAGGCTCGTCGATGGCCTTCTCAAACACCAGGTCGATGACTCCTTTGAGCCTCTCTTCTGTGTCGATGGTCAGATCCGTCACCTGCTTCATCAGCTGGTTGAACTTCTGAGGCGTCAGCTTGTTCAGGATGCTGCGAACCTTCTTGAAGAGATCCTGTAGGGGAGTGTGACAGAAACAGCAGTTAATCCCTGAGACCAGCGTTCAATCCTTTGTCTGTGATACATTTCTTTATCTTTGAAAATGTTAACATATCTCTTGTGTTCTTTATACTTTTGAAACAATATTACTTAGATCCTCGGATCACAACCTGGGATCTCAGACTGCCTGCTCTGAGGTTGTCAAAGATTTAGATTTGCACATATTAAATAAATTCCTGTTAAAACATTACTGGGAAATTTATTCAAAGATCTTTTGGTAAGTATGTAGACAAATTCTGATTCTATCAGTGAAATCTTTTACAATTTATGTACATTTTTGAAAGCAATGTATCCTTTGTTGTGTGTGCTCTTCAGGTGTGCTTTGGCAAGTACAGTTCATGCATGAGCACAAGCACGGGTGCACAACCTGTTACGGGGAATTCTGACAGTATCTGACTAACATGACTCAAAATAAGCCACAAAGTCAGTAAAGTAGCTGTCAAGTTCTCATGCATGTGTTGTATTACGTCGTTATGTACAAGAGGTCACCCTGCTCAGGCCCGGTTAGTCCTGGAGCAGTGTGAGTGCAGGCCAGCGGGGGAATGGGGGGGCGGCGCAATCGTGCTTAAGCACGGTACGGGACAAACTGGGCCTAGTATGAATCCACCCTTCGATACAACTTAATTAAAAGTAATATAAGCAAAATACTAATATGTAGCACATGTTGTAAATGTGGGGCCACACGATGTGGTAGTATCAGTTAATTATCAGCCATCACATTTAATTAAAGGTCGGGTATTATATCGATCAACCTTTGTATCATTAAAGATAACTGTTTTCAGTGATGCTATTATCAGTAGTTTTTCCAATGATTAATTTTCCTAATCATCGTAACAGTCTGACATTTGTTTTATTCTGTGGTAACTTTTATAATAAACAGATTGATACAAGTATTTTAATGAGTATTTTAATATCTGATTTCTACAGAATCAATCATATAATCAAAAGTCATTTACATTTCTAATAACTGAAAAGTCATCAATAAGAACAATGCACTGAGTGCTGATGTCTGATGAGTCTCTTTTCATTCCCGTTTTTGTAATTTTGGACCTACCTGTGTTTTCTGTATCTCAGGATCCTCTGAAGGACCCTCCCTCTTCATTCCAGGTTTCCAGGCGTTCTCGGACTTTTTCAGCTGAATCTCGTCATTCACCGACACATTCATGATGATCTTCCTGGGTGGAGGCCGCCGTGCCCCGATGTTAATCAGCTGTGAGAGCAAAGAAATACACAGTACAGCGTGTCTATAAGCAAAGCTGAAACTATCTTAAACATGTTACAATGACATATTAGCTATTACAAGTGTTACGGCTGTTTGCTTCCCTCTGCTGTTTGTCCCTGCTGCTCTCAGGCGAAGCTACTGATCACCTAACGAGGTACACGTGGCATCAGAGCTGGCTTCAGGAGAAGAGAGGCTTTTGGAGTGGGGGCTGCTGTGCCTCTTTGTTGGGATTGTTGTGTTTGGTCATCTTAGTAATAGATCTCTTGATTTTGACTTTGTTAAGGCGTTTTAAGTGTTTTATTGGGTCAATGTGTGGTCTGTTGTTAGCCCTATAGGGCCGCCTTATTGATTGGGCGTAACACAGGAAAAATGTCTATCTGGGATTAAAAATAACATATAATGAATATAAAGAAACACGACAGTATCACCTTATGACTTATAAAAAGAAGCCCCATAAGAGCTGAATCAGATCCCCGACTCAGTCTACAGTAACAGCTTGAAAAACTCGAGTCAGACTGTTCTTTTAATACTTAAAACCTGCAGTTTTTTTTAAAAGCAGCTTGCTCCATTTCTGGTTCCTAGGCAACCAGAGTATCACCTGCCCTTCAACAACTTACCTAAAATCTTGAGTAGTGCACTAATTTGCCTCGAGGCCTGCTGTCTGTTCAGATCTTTGTAAACTATGAATCTACAACCATCTCGAGTTTGTCTTCTGTAATCTATGTTTCCCCGCTTCAGTTACTATTTCAAGTCATCTCTCTATTCACCCAGCTGAACAGAGGGGGAAACAGTGATGATTTAGGGAGCTTTGTTTCTTTGAGTTGAGGTTTTTGCAAGTCTATGTTCACAGCATTTCCCTGACCTTGGAAGCTAGAGGCTTTCAGCAAACAGAGTTTGCTGAAAGCCTCTAGCTTCACATGTGGATGCTAAAGGGTATACCTTGCATGTTCCAGTTCTAGATCCCTGGGGCTGAGTTAAGTTGTCAGTATTTGACGCTTTGGGACAAGAGTGTTGAAATGGTGCGTGTGCACTTATGACTCACTGCAGCCCCTCGTCCTCCGGTTATCTGCCGGCCAAAATCTGCAAAGGCAGGTGTGAAATCGGGTCCTCTGGAGATCGCTCTGGAATCCACCACTCGAGACGGCAGCTTGTTTTGGTTCATCTGTGCGACACATAGCATAGACAATACATTATCACACACTCGCATATACACACACACACAAGCTGGAACTGAACAGCAGGGGGAGCAGTGATCCCCTAACAATAGTGCCAGTAGGGTAAAAGGAGTTGTTGTGTGTCAGTGGGTTTACATTTCTAACCCAGTGGTCCCTTAAAGGTGACCCACTGTAAACGACAGTCGTACTACATTGGCAGCTTTTGCTTCATGTTTTTTTTTTTTTTTACTGCTGGGGTAATAAATTCTGCTCAGTGGCTTGAGTTGGCCGTTCAGTTGGAGAAGTCAGAACCAGATGTGGATGAGAGTGGAGGACGAGTGAGAGGAACGCGGGATAGTTGTGGGGGAGGAGAGGAGAGGAGAGGAGAACAAATCCAGCTCTTTGTCTTTCAGATGTCCTTGACTTCCTCTCCGCTCTCTCCCAGTGAGATTTCACTTTCCCCTTTAGAGAAAACGTGCGCACGGGATTGTACATCAACTGTTCACCAGTCGGCTTGTTCTTTTTTGGAGAGGTGGGGGGAGGGGTATGTACTCTTTAACAGTGCCAAGTGTGACATAATAGCAATGTGATTTTAATCAAAACAGCGTTTCAGTGGGCCATATGCTCCACCCGAACGTATGTGTGGATCAGAGGAATGAAGCAAACTCAAACAGAATAAAGGGATGTTGAACCTCAGCCTGTTGCTTTGATGGAAAACTGTTTCATGAAGAGCTTTACTTAAACCTATGCCTTTAACTAATGACTGTTTTCATTATTTATTCATACAATCCATCATTTCAACTTCAGAAAATGATGACTCATTTCCGTCATACTTTCCTGCAGCCTGAGGGGACAAAATCAAATTCTTCATATTGTCCAGCTAATGCTGATTTCTGCGCTATGGCATTGGCTCTACTTCACTGTACTCATTTAAAACGGATACCAGAACTTTATCTACTTAGTTTTCCTGTGAAGATTAACCTGCTCACTGGTGCCTGGGTTTTAAATGAGCTCCAAAGAGTAGGCAGGACATTTACAAACCTTTTTTTCTAGACAAACATTTCCCTGAAGTGCTCGGAATCTCGTCCTATTCACGCAAACACAGTTAAAAGTGAGTCTGGTTTGACTGTATTAAGAATTGGAAATGAGACACAACAGTCTTATATCAGTAATATTTAATTAAGTGATTAAAGCAACAAGAACTGGAAATCTCTACATTTGAGGAACTGAACATTTTGCTTTTTGATTCATACTCGACTTAAACAAAAAGCTCGCCTGAGTTTGAAAATAGTTTCAGATTTATTTCTGCAGCATACGAGTCCAACTCAAAACCTTTAAATAAATGAGGCTTAGCTTGCCCTTGTAACTCAATGAAGGATTTTATCAACTTTATATTTTGTATTTAATATGGTCTGGATGTCTAGTAAGCAGCTAGTAGCAGCTCGGCTCACAGGCTCCTTCCTGGGTTTCTGTGTTTTTTCTGTTTCTGATTTTCTTTCATGTGAAAGAAGTCTGGGAACCCATCAGTGATGGTCCGACCATGTTATAACTTCTGGGAGTGATGGACAACTTTGAGGGCTAACAGTGAAGCCAACAATTAGCGTCAAAGGATTTCCAGCCAAGACTTCCGTTTCTGTGTGTTGCTACTGTTTACAGTCTAACAACAACGTGAGAAGGGATAATGTAGTTGGTGTTAAGAAACAACATCTAAGTGCAGGTTAGTAGCTGCACTTGCATGCAGATGTCTGGTTGAAGACATTTATTAAAGCTAAATTGTTGATCAATGAATGCTAATGGTTTCCAGGATTAGGCCAGATTGTGATACCTGAATCCAGTCCCTAAACAGGGATAAGTTTGGGAGTCAAGGAGACCACTGCACAGAGTTCTGCTCCTGGTGAAAAACTTGTCAGTGATAAATACTAAGAAGCCTTAACATGACAATCTGAGGTCATAACAACAAGCGCGGCTTGTGTTAGCAGCAGCTCGGCTTGCAGCTCCTTCTTATTAGCAGCAGTTTAAAGTCTCTTTACTCTTAATTATAGAAATGGAAAAGATATTTTTTGTGGTGCACACATCAGATTGAGCAACTGTGAGATTATCAGTTAGTTAAATATTTTATCACATTTTGTCATGAAATTGCAAAAACTACACACACTCTTCATTGTTTGTCCTTTCTGGCTCGTAGGGGAGGCTGGTAGAGGAGCTCTAGAACTAATTTTGAGAACAAGTTTATTTGACAATACCTTTTTTATTGCTTTTTATAGCTGTTACAAACAAAAATGTGGTCTGATTATCTGCAAAACAGATTCACTGACCTTGTCCAGCACCACGTCACTGATGGGTGGGAGCCCCTCAGGCTTCTGTATGCAGGCGGGCATGAACTGGAAGCCCAACAAGAAGTCCCTGTTATACTGCCGCTTCCCAGCGGGGTCAGTCAGGTCTGGACCAGCACATGAAGGGGTTGTCCCCAGAAGGAAGGAAGAAAAATATACATTTAGAAAGAGCAAATATTCTTATACATATGAAACAAAGACTGAACTGGAAATAATTTAATCAAAGGTCACGCTAAGAGAACTCAAAACTGAGTTCAGAGAACGTTGAATGTCAACTTAAAAATCAGATTTTAACATATTTTTACATAAAAGTTTGCCTTCTGTATCTTTAAACATCTGTTCTCCTAACCTTCGATGTCCTGTGCAGCCCCTGTGGAGTTCTCCTTGTCTCCGGGTGTGGCTCCGCTGTCGCTGCTCTCCGTCTCTGACGTGTGGCCGGCTCCGTTCCTCATGGGCTCTATCTCGGCCTCGCCGTTCTCCTCCGGGGCGGCAGGCTTTCCGTCGGCCTCGGGGCTGCTGGCCGGAGCTGGGACGGGGCTGGAGGTGAACACTGATGATGGCAGAGGCACCGGGCTGCTGCTCAGAGGAGCGGTCTGCAGGGTCTGCTCTCCTGCAGGGAGGTCTACTGGCCTGGGCTCTTCCTGTAAGGAAACGAGATCGGATGTTAAATAATATGAAAATAATTGTCTGCGACCATAAAGAGTTCTTCTATTGTTTCCAAGCAAGTTAAATATAACTCGCTGGTTGATGTTGTGCAGCTTAACATGCTGTTTATCATATCTAAATCCAGCAGCATCACAATTTGTCTACATAATAAAGGGTCTATAATCAGTTGAGGCTGTGAGGAGGTAATCTGCAGACAGGTTGAAGTGGATGGACACAAAGAAAGGGTAAAAATGCAGGAGTGGAAAATGAGCAGTGGATGAATAAAAACAGAGCGATGGAAGTGGTGCTCGAGGGGAATAAGAGGAGGTGAAATACAGGCAGGGCCGAAGGGGTCAGGTACAAACAAGAGACGGAGGAATAGGAGCACTTAAGGTTCGTTGAAGCAGGTAGTAGGATTAATGACACACAGTGGACATACTGTTAAAGATCTAAAAGTATTTGTGGCTAGTGTTGGCAGAAAAGGTAAACTGTGAACCAAGACGTTAAGAGAACACACCACATGTTTACAAACCACTACAGTTATCAGTTTTAACAATCATGATGTATATATTTTCATTCTGTTTCACTTAAATATCCCCCCCCCTTTTTTTCCCCCCTTAAATGTATGTTTCATCAACCAAAAATAAAACCTCAAATTAGGACTTAGGGGCTTGATGGACCAGATAATGAAGAAAAAAATGTTCCCTTGTTTGGTTTCAAAGTGAAAGAATCTGATTTGTTGTTGTTTCTTCTATTGTTTGACACATTTATGAACAAAAACAATAAAACAATCTACTTTCCTCCCACTAAAAAAAAGATACTAATACAGCAAGAAATGAAGAAGTAAAGATATACTTATCTTTTGTCATCTGTAGTGGAGTTAATTATCTCTAATTATTGTTGTGAGACGCATGCTTCTAAGTAAAATAACATTTCTGTGTCACTCAGAGTTTCATTTTAGGCTGAACAGCTGCTACTCTCTCTCTCTCTCAATAAGTCAATCAATCATTATTTGTCACTGCATCCACTCTGTGATGTGAAAACCCTTGAAAGGCAAAAAGCCCAACGTGAAGCAGTAAAACAGAAAGAAAGGCGAGCAGGACGGAGCTGATTTTACGTACAGTGGGCTGGGTGAGCAATGAAGATGATGGATGATTCTTTACTGTGGTACTCGGACGATAACAACACCCCAAAGTCATTTATGTCCGCTTCCCCCAACCGCACATGTGGAAACATTTTTCACTTGAACTATTGCCCACATTGCGCTTTTCCTTCCTTCTCTCTCTATCTCTCTCTATCCACCCTTTCATTCTTTCTAGGCATTTTAAAAAGTCTTGTTTTTCCTCCTTAGATACCAACCATTTAATCAACAGGTGAAAAATTTACACACAATTATTATTAAGTCACTAAGTCTCAATGGATATCTGTGAAAAGATGATTAAGGCTAAATAAAGGTGTGTAAGAACTGAAGCTACTTTAAGGTCATTTAAAGTCACCATATGTAAAAAGGAGCTTGAGTTCTCACTACATCTGGTTCAGTGTGGTTTCTTAGACGGCCTCGGGTCTTACCTCCTCCTCCTCCTTTTGAGATGCTTCTCCAGCAGAGATCCCTTCATTTGGTTTCCTCCAGGTCTTTGGTATAGCAGAAGCAGTCTGATTTACTGCAGGGGCATAAATCATTCAGTTAGCATGGGAAAAAAAACACCAACCACAATTTATTTATAAATATTGTGTGTGAAACTAAAGGATGGAAACATTTTTATAAAAAAAAAAAAAAGAAAGTCACTTAAGTCTGGGGACAAAAAAATCAAGATGATTTAAGGCTGTTAGAGGTAACAAGAAAATTATATTAATGCTTGGAAGTTGACCGACTCTACCAACTGAACCACAGCCAGTCTTAATCAAAGGTTGATTTCTGAAGTTGATTTATTAAAAGAATGCAGCTGGAATTTGCAACAGACTGTTACAGTCAGAAACAAAAAGCCACAGGTGTGACCGTGAAATAATAAGATTTAGGCATGTGTGGGATAAAAATGACTTCATCATTTGATTTGATTCATGAAACGTTTGTGATAAAGAGTGTTTTATCCTCTTCTCTCCCATCTCTGGTGTGTGGCACCCTTCCCCTGTCTCTCTCTAGCTTCACGTCTAATACTGTGGTAATAGGCACATTTAAAATATGGTCACAAATTAGACGACACTTTGGGTGGCTCTCCCTCCCTAAAGCGACGCCCATCTGTAATAATCACCTTTTTATACCAGCTAGGATTGACCCACGATTTGCATTTTTGGAGAGGAATGGCCTGCGCTGTCTGGGTGACTTATACGCTAATGATGTTTTTGTCAGTTTCGACCAATTACGTTCTGCATTCCTTTTAAATGGCTCAGACTTTTTTCGATATTTTCAGCTCCGTGATTTTGCTAGGACCCACTCACTGGCATTTCCTCATGTTCCAAACCCCAGTGGCATTGATTTGGCACTCAAGGCAAGAATCTTGCCCAAAGGTCAGGTTTCCTTCCTTTATGACCTCCTGTTCACAACTGACGAGTCCACGATAAAAAAGATCAAGGCTGATTGGGAAAGCGAATTACAAACCAACCTTTCTGAGGATTTCTGGGAAAAGGCGCTTGGGGCTGTTAATTCTTCTTCTAGCTGCGCTAGGCTGTCTCTTAACCAGTTTAAAGTGCTCCACAGACTTCATTACAGCAAATATAAACTCTCCAGAATATTTCCGGATACAATTGATGAAACTTTTTTATTGGCCAATAACTTAATTATTGGCAGTCCTTCTTTAAGTCCATCTCCGACATTTTAGGTATAAACATCAATCCATCCCCACTTATAGCTATTTTCGGTAGATCTCCTGACGATCTTGCCACCTCGACCACTCAGGACAATGTTATTGCTTTTGCCTCTTTAATCGCCCGCAGGAAAATCCTTCTCTTATGGAAATCTTCACAACCTCCCTCCTTCAAAGCATGGCTGCACGATGTCTTATTTCTCCTTAAGTTGGAGAAAATTAAATTCTCTCTTAGAGGGTGCTCTGATAGGTTTACACTCACTGGAGACCTCTGCTTCAATATTTTGAGAAACTCTCACCTGACGAGGTATTGTAGTAGTACACCTTCGCCTGCTGATACTGATGCTGTGCCTGTCCAGCTGCCCCCCCCCCAGCCGTTTAGGTGGTGGCCTGGATGTGAGCAGCTGTTGTCTTCCCTTTTATTGATCAAGTTGAGCAGTGTGCGTGAGTGATTTTGTCTCTTTTACAGGTTATACTGTTTTTCCTATTTACCTATGTGGTATGCTCATAACGACTTTCATTCCTGTCAATGTTGTTTGTTCATTTATTTATTCTTTTTTTTTTATGTTTGTCTCGTCAATTTTCATTATTATTATTTATTTGTTTTTATATTTTATTTGTTTTCTCTGTGAAGTTTTCCAATCTTGCACTTTTACTCTTTAAAGTAAGAGGTCTATTTGTTGGTCTGGGAGGGTTGTTTACAGGGCGAAGGGATACTGGGTTTTTGAATGTTTCTGAGGAAAAAGAAAAATGTTGACTGTATCCCAATTGCACTGTATGTTTTGAACTTGCTTTAATAAAAATATGTTGATTAAAAATTTGTTTGTTTTCACTTTCCATATTGTAAAAGACAGTTTATCAGTTTTATTCTGAGAATGACTGACGGCTCCTTTTTAACGCACCGGAGGCTTACTCTTCTTCTAGTCCGTTTCTGACTTGTGTCTGCCCCTCCTCTCTTATGAGTTACATTACAAATGTTTAAGTGCAGCTATGCCATCATGTGTGCAGAGTGATTTAGCTTCCTGATATGCAGCACTGTTTCCTACAGAAGACGTGGCTTCCTTTGATATTCCATTATCACATCAGGTGATCTGCAACGAGGAGGCTTATTGATGACGATGTGTATCGTAACAATCATCCTAAACTAGGAGTGCAGGACTGCGTCGGCAGAAAGCAGCTGCAGAACATGAATGTAATAAAGGCGTTAGAAGCTTCAGCTTGTGATTCTACTCTTATTTTTTGCTGCGTCTCTCGATAACAAGCCTCCCCAATAAAAAAAGTGTTTGCAATTCTTACCCTCGTAAAACCCCAAGTGAATAATGACTTAGTATTGTAAGTCATTCATAATACTCTTGGACTAATAAAGTCTTTCATTTCAGGCTGGACTATCACCAAAAACAGATCATTCTTAAGAGTCATTACAGTTTTGTTGCAGGTTTAAACATTGTTGTGTGGGGGGGGGGGGGGCAAAGGACCTGTGAGGATTATTAATTATTTGGGCTACAGCTGTCAAAGTGTTAACAGATACTGTACCTGTAGTGGGACTCCTCCTGGTGAGTGCTTGTTGTTGGGACTCTGTTTTGTTGTCAGTAATGCCTCCAAGTGCCTCAGTTCCCACTCTGGGGACGAGGTCTTTAGTGTCTAAGGACTTGCTCGGCTCGTCAGCCTCTGTCGTGGCCTGCACTAGAGGCGGAAGGCCAGGGGGGAGCATGACAGGCAGAGCAGGGGCAGGGCTTGAGGTCAGGGTGACTGGCACCACAGACACAGGTGCCATAGGAGCGAGCACAGCAGCAATGGGCACCTCTGGCCTCACTTCAGAGGGCAAAGTTTCAGAGGAGGAGGGATCTCTGTAGGCCGGAGCAGAGACCGGAGGCTGGAGTGAAGATGGGGACAGAGGAGAAGGCTCATGGACTGGAGGGTCCAGCTCTGTCACAGAATCTGCAAGGCCGTTCAAAGCCTTGGGAGCTGGAGCAGGCGAGGCGGCCAGAGTCCGTGGGGCTTCTGAAAGAGGCTTGTCTGTGTTGGGAGTCTGAGGTGACACCAAAGAGGGTTTGCGCTCCACCAGCGAGGGGGAGGGAGAAGAGGCTGATGAAGTGGACTCCCTTGCTGAGGGACGTTCACTCTTATTGGCCACTGAAACAGGGAGAGCGACGGGGGCGGCCATCACGGCTGTGAAGGGAAGCTCTGGTTCCACAGTAGACGAGGGCTCAGGTACAGCAGCGCTGGCCTCGAGTCTCTCCATAGGAGCTTCAGGCTGCACGAGCACAGGTGAGGAAGACTTCTGGACCACTGGCTCCAGTTTTGGCGTTTCATCTAGAAGAGTTCAGATGTATTCATTTAAAATTTATTTGTATTATGAAGCATGTAAACTGTTGCCACACGCTGCAGCACAAAGGGCTAATTGGCAATGCCTGTCTAAAATTTGGCTTTTAAACGGCATAAAATACACAAGAGACAGTAAAACACAAACAATAATAGCATTTACAAGGAACATCCTATAATTAAATTTAAGATGATTAAACAAGAGGCACCACATGAATTATGAAATCATGACAGAGCCCTTTGGAAAAAAAAAAAAAGACTTTAAGTTTTTAAATGATCCCACACAGATCCTCCTTGTTCTAAAACAGTAGATGCTGTGTAAGGCCTCAGGTTGACAATGACTTAATATTTTCAATATTTAGTGTATCAGTGTGAACATTAGGCATTGGGTCATAAAACTTGTAAAGTAGAAATTGTTCTCAAACTTTTGCTTTGTATCAGTTTAACGTTCCAGCTAATTACTGGAAAAGCAGATTGCCCTGCTGACACCACACTCACTGATTTGTGAGAGAAATGAAAGTGAAAGCATTCACATGAGCTGCCTGACAGTAGGCCATGACAAAGCAAATAAAATAGTCCAATAGTGTGTATTGTTTCAGGATTTGAGGGCGTTCCATTTAGAAGTATTTTAGAGGACCAGAGGATGTAGGAGCAGACCTGGCCCTGGTTTGGTGTCTGAGGCCCGAGTCGTCAGCGGCTGCTGTGGCTGCTGGGGCTGCGGTGGTTGTGGTAGCTGCGGAGGCTCCAACGTGTAGCCTCCAGGATTGGCCGGCTGTGGTTGAGGAGGCTGCTGCTGTTGCTGCTGCTGCTGCTGCTGCTGCTGCTGCTGCTGCTGCTGCTGCTCTGGAGTCTGGCTCCTGTTCAGCTGCTGCGATTTGAGGTAGAAAATGTGAGGATAATGAGGGTGCGGCCATAAAAACTAGCAACACAGAAAACCAGAGAGACAGGCACAGAGAGATGTAGGCAAGCACACACAAAAACAAATAAACAAAAGCAGGAATAAGCAGAAAACAAGAAGTCCAATGAGGTATGTTAAGATTAAAGGGATCAGCAATGTGGACGAAACAGAGAATGAAGATAGATTGAGGGAGGGATGGGAAGGAGGAGGGGAAGGGCTCAGAGCGATGCAGAGCAAAGGAGAAAGATCCAGAGAAATAAAATCATAAAGGGGCACAGAAAGACAGAAGAGGAGAGACACTGTTAACATTTACAGAAGGAAATAGGGAGGAAGACTTCACACTGTCCTTCTTCAGAATGCAGGAAAACCCTTTTCTTTGGGCTCCGCTGATTAAACAAAGATCCAATTGTCTTATTGAAACGGTTTTCATCTTAACTGCCATGACAACGCTGCTGTTTTCTTTAATGCCAGGACTTACAACCTGTGTAGCCTGCAAACAATGTGTGAGTGTCACTTCAACTTCAGGGCAGCATTCGAGCAACACTGAAGTGAATATCTGTACCTGTTCTGTCTTGTCTGGAAATTTCACATTTTCAAGCAACAATTACAAACCTCCACTCCGGCTCACTGTCTCACTTGCAAATATTTATTTATTGGCAATGTTTCGGGAATAGACCTTCAAGCCAAACCTCATCAGACCTGATGCTGAAACATAACCAATCAATGTCATTTTGCAGGTTAAGACAGTGCGCAGGAGACAACTGTTAATGGACTCACTCCTCTCCTACACACCTGTCATGTGGAATAGACGTGCTTAGTATTCTTTTTAATTGTCAAGCAACAAAAGAGCAGGTTACTTTCTTTTGCATTTAACAATCTTCCATCAAAACTTCAATTATTGATTATAAGTTTATTTATAAATGTACAGTGAACCTGACAGCGAGGTCGGCAACTTTTATCACAAAATAATAAAATCAAAGACCCAGGATATAACAAGAAAATGAAGAGAAAAATAATACAATTTAAAACAAACAATATGATAAAAAATAAAGAAACCCTTAAAGGTTAGTAATCCATGAAGGGGACAAAACTTAAAGCCCAGAAAGCTAATTATTAAAATAAAAAATTATCCAGTGCATTTTATTTTTGCCCATCAAAGCAAGCATGTGCATATTTAAAATAAAATGTTTTAATTGCAATATTTTGCACGCAGGGTCAAGGTTACACATAAAGGGGTTGCAGACGGCCGTATGGACACAGTATATGTGAGCGCTCCTCTGTTGTTTGAGATGTGAGAGTTTAAAACCACATCTGATACACCTGCGGTCTAGACAGGAGTCTGAGCCACAATATGTACCGGTACTTGTTTACATATGCAATGCACTAGAACAAAAACAAATGTTTTTAAGCACTGAATCGACAGATTAAAGAGTTGAGAGGATTCTGTAGAAGGAGCAGGAGAATACAGATGATTTGTGATTTACTGTAAAAAGACGGAGGGTGAATAGAAACAGCAGTAGAAAGGAAGCAGGTGTAACAAAAGAAACAGCTGTTAACTAAATAAGCTGTGTAGAAATACTACACTTTAAGTCACTGTAAGGGAGACTGAAGAACTTGTAAGTGGTTTCATAGGAGTGGAAACACTAAACCCCCTTTTCCAACCTCCTACAACAAACCACGATTGACTTTTGATTTTAAAAGTTTATTTTAGTCCTGAGCGATAAACCTCAGGCATGTTTCAGGTTGAAAGGCGTCATCAATTGCTTTATGAGCGGGCAAGATGGCTGAATGAATTACCAAAGAGAGGCATCGTCCTGCAGGAGGGATTACAGCCCAAGCCCCTACAGAGCAACATGAGACGCCTTTCCTCTTCTGCAGTCTAATCAGCTGCTCTTAATGCTACACCGGCTCCACTGTAACTACTGCAGGTGAGTGTGTCAGAGAGCGGTACCTGTGGGGGTGTGGGGGTAGAGGAGGGCCGGCCGATGGGAGGCGTTGAATTCCTGCTCCCTGAACCTCCCGCCATGATCTCCTCTGTGATGTCCCGACCGCCCTGATTGGGGTCACGGATACGGATCTGGGAGGACAATGACACAAAAAAACAGACCTCACTAAAGCAGCAGAGTCTCGGAGCAGCAGACCAAATGTTTTACATGTTTATAACCAGGGTCTTTATACTTCTTTATTAAGATGATCTTATCTGATACATAGAAAGAGAACAGCAGCAGCAGCAGACTCCATCAAAGTGTCAGTACACACAGACTCATAACGCTTGGAGGTGCATTTTTTAATCTTAGTTATTCTAGTGCAGTATGCTTGTTCACATAATTTGCATCTTTATCTCATAAGATTCTTTTTCTCTTGTTAATGCTGTTAAAATAGAGGGTTAGGGGGGCGGCTGTGGGTCAGTGGTAGAGTGGTAGAACCGGAAGGTCGAGGGTTCGATCCCCCTCTCCTGCAGCTACATGTCCAATGTGTGCTTGGGCAAAACACTTAACCCCAAGTTGCTCCCACTGCTTTGTTAGCGGTGTTAAATGTGTATGAATTGATGAAGTTACTTCTGATGATCACTTTTCATAGAAACCTCTGCCATCAGTGTGTGAATGAGTAAGAATGACCTGTGGTGCTTTGAGTAGTCAGAAGACTAGAAAAGAACGATACAAGCTCAAATCCATTTACCATTAACCAAAGTAGAAAACATTACACTGATTTATAACACTCACTAAGACTCACTCATTAAGAAGAAGCAAAATCAGATTTCGACCGAACAGTATAACCGAATTAAATGTTTGAGCCAAGGGATGAAAACGAGTAATAACACTTCAGTATCATCAAGTATTTCACAGAGAGAAAAAGTGTTCTGCTCACTGATCATAAAGTACAATACCTGCGGATAAATACACATGCTTTGCACCAGTGTGTCTTTTATTTATCAAGCAATGGCAACATGTCACATGGTTGTTTTCCAATTATGGAATTTATCCAAAAATGTAAATGTACAAGGCTTGAAATTGTTATAGTGAAGTAATAATGAGGCGACTAGTATTATAATCACATTAGTTAGTTAAAGAATGAGCAGGATAAAAAAGCGTTATAAGCCTGATCATTTCTTTGTCAGAAGTCTGGAGGTTTAACGTCAGTACTATCCTTCTTTTTCTGTTTCCTGCAGGGCTTTGTGAAGGAAACTGACTCGCTACACACATACAACTTCTTACACTTCTTCAATCTGACACTAAATCCTTAAAATAATTCCACAAACACCAACAACATTTTAACAAATGGCTTAAAAAGGTAAAATGGATTTGGTTTATCTCACCATCAGGAGTAATTTGAATACCAAACTGGTCACACTCCAGCCGTAGATTTGACTTTTTTTTACTCTGTGATATCGTCGAAAAGGAAAAGCGGCTACTTAATGAACTTTGAGGGGGGGAATGTTTTGACAGCTGCTGTTTCAAAGGTCAAAGCTGAACTTTGTAAAGATCAACTTTCAAGACAGTGTGGATGAGAGGTGCTGAGAAAAAACTGGAAACATGTACGTTTCTGTTGACAAGAGATAATCATGAGATCTGAGGGGCTTTGCTGGGAGACTGTTTTGAAAAGAAAGAGTTTTTAAAGTAAACGATCTTTCTTAATCCTAAATAAAGATTCAGAATTCTTAACCCCCTAAATGAAAGGTTCAGAGAATCAGAAACAATCACACAGCTGTACTTAAAACTATTGAGTGTCAGATGCTGCAAAAAAAGGAACTCCTAAGATACTCACTGGTTTTTTCTCTCGCTTGGCTGGTGGAGGTTGCTGTGGTGTAGGCACTATGATGGGGGGTGAGGGGGGGTACACAGCCTGTCCTGGATAGTAGGGGGGACCAGCTGTGGGGACGGGAGCGGGGACAGAGGGTGAGACAGGCGGGTGGTACCTGAGGGGATCTGAGTGAGAAGAGAAACATAGATTACTTCAACAGTCACATAAAGGCGATGCGTGATTTCAGGTAACATGGTACAGAATGTGAGAGCACGTTCATGGTATGTTTTGATTTAAGTACTCACGATACGGGGAAGGGTACTCCCCCGGCCCAGGACCAGGATAGAAGGTGCCGGACCCTGGAGGCTGGACTGAATACTGCTGAGGAGGTCCCACGTAGGGCGTACTGTGTCGATACTGAAAGAAAAGAGGACACTTAACACGTTTTTAATTTGTAACCAAATCAAACCTGTAGAAATGTCATTTTTTTAAAACAGCACACTTTATAATGGAGGGTGTTTTGTGTTTCTCTTGTGAGCGTTCTGATTTTTTTCTTGAGAGGTTCTGGATAAGCCCTCTATCAAATTCTGTCTAGACCAAAGATATTCACTATCAAACCAGCAGCAGCTGCAAAAACACTCTACAAAGAGTAGTTTGCTTTGCAGTTATTCAGCACAACAACAACATAATCGCACAACAATTTGCAGAAACTAATGTGAAATCCTCTTCTCTGTTTTGTTTAATTACAGACAAACAACAGTGCTAAACGATGAATGATAACCTTAACTGGTATTTGTGCACATTTTGACATCAGTTATGATGTAATTTTGCAGTGTTAAGCAGTTCAGACATTTAAAAAGAACATATCTGAATGCTCAATCTCAAATCAACCTGATGGTTTTGTTTGCTTGTGTAGTTCATAAAGAGGCATCAATTTTAATTTCTTTGCGTTTTATACCCAGCTAAAAACTAAAGAAATACTCCACCGAATATTGATTTCTACCTAAATTAAAACATCATCCCTTCAGATGTTTGAAAATGAATTTGAACTTGTTTTTGTTGTTTTTCATTCATTTTTGCAGTCTGACAAATACTGATTTTTTTTGTTTTCTGCACCAGCTGTCATTTTCTGCATATGAACTGCTTTAATGATGATGTCTTATTTGGACGTTGGGATAAATGTTGTATTCAAAAACTTTTTTATTTTATTCAAACACAAACCTATAATTAGTAGAACCAGAGATACGCATATTGTTGTACTCTCCCTTCATTTTTCCAGAGCTGTATGTTATGTCATAATGCTGCCAAAAGCTGCAGTCTGGGCTTTTTGTTAGAAAAAGAATAAATTATCTCAGTTGTGCAGATTTTATTTAAAATCTATTTTTTACAGGGTGATGCAAAGAAATGAGTTCCCTCAGCAGTCGGAGTCAGAAAATCCATTTAAGTAGAGTCAATATCTGCTCTGACAATGATGCATTTTGTAGAACTACACGAGGTCTAAACTTAAACAAATCAATAACCCAGTTTAGAGTGTCGCTGTTACCTGTGGGATGTAGTACTGTGCAGCCTGTGGGGAAGGGAAAGGCATGGGTGCCATGGTCATCATGATTGGTTGGTTGGTTGGGTACACGGCCGCCGTGGGGTTCTGCGAGCCGGGCCGTAAAGAGGGTGTGTTTGTGGGGATGGTGGGCCTCGCGGCCTGCATCTGAGTTCTCTGGAAAAACTGAAAGCAACAAAAAAAAAAAAAATGAGAGAAACAGAGCAACTCATTTCAGCATGCTGCCACACTTTATCTAGAACACAAACAAGCGCTGTTTCTCAGATGTCTTCACCATTTGGCCTGCACATTTCTCACAGTGAGACAGGCCTGCTTTTTATCAGCAGCTTGGAAAGAAATCTCCCATCATTGCTGCAGGCCATAAGATTAAAAGGACTCGGAGAAATGAAGGGCAGAATTAGTTTCAGGCTGACATGCACATTTTTATAATTCTGCTCTATAATCAACACATAATTTCCTCTTTGAGTCGCTTTAATAAATACTTCTGAAGTTTTGTATTTTTTGTAATCGGTAAACAACATTATGAATCAGATGAATGACATGAACAAAATAGGGAGCACCACTCTCTGTTTAGACATGTTAAATATTTCCTCCTGTAATCATCTAATCAACTAAACAGACAACTCAAAAGTAGAATTAAAGATTTCACACCGAGATCAAAGAAAGCCCGAGCACACAGCAGTAAACGGGGCATCACAGCGTGACATCTGTCTTCAATCATTCAGACGTTCACAATACACCATGTGTTCATCATTAACACCTTCCCAGGGTTCCCTTTGTGAAGGTTTTCAGGGAGGCAAATGAAAACAGATAGTTGAAGGGATGTAATCATTTCCAATGAGTTTGAAAAAACGTCTCACTGACTGAATGGAGCCTGGCTGCACACTGTGTGTGTGTGTGTGTGTGTGTGTGTGTGTGTGTGTGTGTGTGTGTGTTGTCGTCAGGGGATCTTTGTGGTATCTTGACCTGAATTTTTCTAAACACCATGGCAACTCATAGTTTAGAGGGAAGAAGAGGGTATGCTTCTTTAAAAAAAAAATGTCAGGGAAAGCTGATTTCTCTTGAATTTATTATTCTTTGGCTGGTTTTTGAGTTGTCTCTAAATTAAAGCTTTGTTTGCTTTCCTTTCGATACTAAAGTTCATTGAATTGTAATTGTTTATCTTGAGTCATGAGAATGAAACTGCATTTTCTTTTATTAATATCCTGACCATAAAATACAGGATATGAGCTAAAACTGATGTTTGAAGAAGAGGACGTCCAACACTCGTACACACACTGCTTATTGAAGACAGAATACGATGCTTTTAATGTATTTATTTAATCATTTATCAGTTATTCTTCCTTTTTATCTTCATTCTGTTTTTAGAACGTATCTCCCTCTTCCTCGTTATGTTGTTATTGTTCTCATCTTGTTGACTTTTTAGCTTGTATTTAATGCGTTTAGAGTGCTTCCTGTTGTATCGTTCTCATTCCCTGACATTTACGTTTATATTATCTTTGTCCTGACTGTTGATGTCGGTTCCGTTGTTGTCCTGAGTTTTTCTTTGTCCGTCAACGCACTTTGTAAACATTTGTTTTTAAAGGTGCTATATGAATAAAGTTATGATTGTTATTATTATTATCTTAAATTATAAGTTCTTAAGTGGAGTCTTGGGATCCTCAGTTGTCCTTAAAACAGTCTAGCGGCTGCCAACCATTTGATTATTTTTCCAAATATTTCTTGCACTGGTAGCAATGTATAGTCCAGTATCAGCTTCTCATTTTCTGACAAGCCTTAAAAAAGAAAAGGAAAAAAAGATGGATATACCGTGCATATTTGGCATCCACTGAAATGCTTTGTTGACTTCTTAAGTCCCTCCATGCTGACACTCAGAACCTACGAGCTGACTGGCATGTATTGGTTTTCAATTCATTTGTGTTTCAACGTTGTCCCAGATGCCACTGTTGGCTTCAATAAACGCCAAACACTATCCACAACCAGTCCCTTTCCAGCTCACTGTTTGTAACGAAACACCCAGATGGCAGATTCAAATCAAAACGTCACTGGCCTTCAAATGAGTTTCATATATTTCCATCTCTGAGTGCATTTTTAAATAAGCATGCACTTTCTGTTATTAAACTTCTAAAGGAAGGCAAAATGTGAGAAAGGAAATCCTGTAAGAAAATTCTGTCAACTGGGGTTCATGCGTCGAATTTATGTCAATGACGGAGTCGTCGACGAGAAGAACCACAGGTGAAGGAGGGTTCTGACAGAGGGGTTTAAGTTTTGACATCTGGTTTATTTTATATTATTGATAACAATAAAATTATCAAGGTTCTTGATTGATTGATTTATTGAGTGATAGAACTTAATGGTCAGACATGGTCTGAAATTTGTCTGGCATCACAGCTGCTCCATTTGCGACATAAAAATTAAGACAAGATTTGACATCTCTTTATAAACTGTTAATATATTTATAAGGATATTGGAGTGTCTGTTATATATATAAGGCAGACCTCAGTGAGTCCTGACTGACAAACACAGATCTGATTACTGCAGAAAACTGCAGAGGAAGAGCCAAAGTGAACATTTCATCACTTCATTTCCTTTTTATTTGTATTATTACGACCAGCCTGTCTGCACTTAAAACAAACTGCACCAGACTCCACAGATGTAAAAAATAAAATAAAACTCTTGGGTCAGCTAAATGTCTTCATATACTTCTTTTTGTGCCTGAGCTGCTCGGCCAGCGTTACAGTTGTACTGATTGTGTGATACACTGCATGACTCTTTGGAGTCTGGTAAGGGTTTTATACTGAACAGGGGCTTGTAGAAAGACCACTACCAACAGCTGTGACCGACTTTCAAACAACCAGGGGGGACTCACGCTGGGAATATCCCAGCACAGTGTCAGTGTACCCCAGTGAAGGAGAGCAGGACAAACAATGCTGTAAAAGTGTCTAAAAATACCCAGGAGGGAAATCACCTTTAACGTAATAAATCAGGTTCAATGGCTTTATTGTAAATGGCCGTGTGGAGGTCTGGGAAACGACCAGGAAACTGTTTACTACAGCTACAGTCTCAGTGAAAATCGCTGACAAAGCGAGAAACATGAGTGGACAGACAAAACAACTTCTGAAATATAAAACTGTACTTAAAAACACACCGACATCATTTGGAAATCCACAAAAAGACATTCAATAGTTCCAACAGATGAACACTTTCTTATGACATGAATAAAATAGGACATAAAAAACACTTAACTTAAAGAGGAAAGTACTCTCATTCCACATGCGGTTCATTAAATTGTGCAAGCTCGACTAGAGATGATTAATGAATGAAAAGCTACGAGATTATGAACTACAAAGTCCATTAATGATCCTCTACAATAAAAGACAGGACAGAGGGACAAGATGAAGATGCAAACGCTCTCTTCAGAGCACGGTGAAGATGAGGGGGAGTGCAGGGTTATACAGCTAAGGTGGGATGGGATCATTTAGGGACGATCCCCCATCATGCCATGCAGGTCTGCAGAGAGGTGAATGTTACCTGGATGGGCCTGAATCCTCCCTTGAGTATTGAAAGCAGGAAAGAGAGAAAAGCCAATGGGAGACTGGACTCGAGAGAGAGACTGAAGCCTCAATACAAAATCATACAGATAATCTTTCACAAATATGCAACAAGGTGGGAATTCCTTTCGACCAGACTGATTACCTGTCCCACACGTCTCTGATGTAAGAATAAAATAATAGAAAAGAACTTCAGAACAAGGTTTGGTTTGGATCATAAAGCGGACAGCTGAGGGGCTTACATGTCGCTGTATGCAGACCTGAGCCAGGCCAGGTTAATTTACGGTATATTGCCTGTCATAAAAAGTGTGCTCATATTATGACATGATTTTTTGATTCTCTGGCCTTTCCACTATTTATAGCCAGCCAAGAGGACACACTCGAGTGTAAAACTCAGATTAATCAAGTTAGTTACACAGTGAACCGCTCTCTGGAGGATGGAACAACAGTTGTTTGTTTTTGTGGTCAATGTAACTTCTGCTACTTTGACCTTAAAGTTCAAACTCTGATACATGAACAAGAGCAGTGTTTCAAAGCTTTCTTTAAAAGGCAGTTAGAAGGATAAGTGGAGGAAAACAAAAAACAAAGAATAAATAAAGATGATCCTTGTTTGACGACTGACTTATGTTTTAGCCAAATTAATTTTTTTTGATCTCTTTGCAGCCTTTACTGTGAATCGAGTGCATTTCAGGGGACAATGGCTGTTTTCTCTAATGGAATAAAAGGCCTTCTGTTCTGCTTCATCTGCTTCCCAACTCCACTTCCGTGGTGGCACAAGAGATCCCAGCGCCAGTTTGTGACAGCCAGAGCATGCACTTATGTGTGTGTTTGTGTTTGTGTACACAGGACACCAAAGTCTGCAAACACACCCAACACACTTTGACACAGTGCTATTAATAGTCTGGTCAAGATTTGTCCAAACAGAAGCTTCCAGAGGGCGAAGATGTCGGATGACAATTTGCGCAGACTGAATCTTGAGGACTTTTTTGGGTGTGAATGACACATCGGTGTTGAAAGACGACGGCTACATGATCCATTACAATGTCCGTCAACAAGCAGAAGGATAACAGGAAGTCATATGGGCTGAATTTCAGCACCCAGACTCCCTGCATTCACAAGGTTTACACAAACAGCGTAATAAATACTTCACTGCCAGACATGAACACTCACATTGACATGCCCTTCATAGTTTGATGTCAACTACCTTAAAAAGAACCAGAGTGAGTCTATTTAAGAAAATACACTTGCATGCTTGATCGGTGCCATAAAACGTTTGGCTAGAAACCTCTGGTAGAAACGTTGTGATCTAAGAACGGTTTTTGTTGCATTGAGTAAATGTGCAATATCTTTTTTTCTTGTAGCTGCAGGACAATCCAGAAACAGCTACAAGAAAAAAAGATATTGCACATTTACTCCATGCTGCATGTATAACTACAGTTCTTTATACACAATATATCCTTCAAAGTTAGCTGGATTTGTTCCTTGTCTTCTACACTCAGGTAAATGATACTTCTGTCTCAACAATTAAGGAGATACATTTGATTATCTCTACAATATAATCAAACCACACATTGAACAAACAACAAATATCCACTCCCAGTTTGTTAGGCAAACATCCAGTCAAATAAGGAACACTGAAAGTCATTGCCTTGGATCCTATAACAGTACTACTGGAGCATTGAAGTATCCTGCAGCAGTAACCAGCAATGTAGGCACAAAATACCTCATTAAACATAATGAGTTTCCCACATGTCATTCTCCACTCTCTATCTCCTTGATTTCTGACTCTATCCACTGTCATATCGCTAAATAAAGGCATTAAAAGCCCAACAATAAACCTAAAAAAAGAACCATAACAAAGACAAAGGACATAAGGATTCATCCTGAGCAAGAAACAGTTACTTTTTCTGCTTAGTGGCCAAACTGCGGGCACCCACAAGCCTTTATCTAAACCTGATGAAAGATAATCAAATACTCATTCAATTCCTTGAAAGAACTAAGAAAGATCTCACATTTAAAATTAACTTGAATAGGGCAACTCGTTGGAAAACAGCTCTGTGCACCCAGCTGGATATTTTAAATAAAATCGGCATGCTAAGAAAAATTCTTGGATAATTAAAACCTCTTTCACTGTCGGCTTTCAAAATCATAGAGACTTTTTTTAAGGAACAGCTGACGCCCCACAAACAGTCCTTTTGCCAGCAGGTACCAGCAAACTGCTTTGATGATGATGATGAGAGAGAGAGAGAGAGAGAGAGAGAGGAGCAGGAGGGACGTTCAGCGGGGGTAAATTACCTGATGGTGGGTTGGTCGAGGGCCCGTAGCAAACTGGCGGGGGAGGGAGGAGAGGTCCAGCAAGGAGATTTGAAGCAGTGATGGCAAAGCAGGGGAGAAAAGAAAAGAGCAGAAGAGAGACACGGAGATAAGACGAGCGATGAAGGTAGATGCTTGAAAAATCAACAAAGCTTTTAAAGACACATGGCACACAATGCAGCTCTCAGCCACGGGTCAAAATGTGCATCTGTGTATCAGCTGTATGATGAGTTAACTGTAGCAGGGAAATATGATATGATCACTTTTTGTAAAGCCCGTTAAAAAAAAAAAAAACACTTCAACAACAACAATAAAAGACACAAAGCAAGCCATAAACATGATAAGGTTATCAGTGAGGTATGTTAGTACACCTAAAAACAACAAGATTAACATACAAGATACAAATTAAGATATATTTTTTATAGATTTAATTAACATACAAATTAAGATATGTTTGTTTGTGTGTGCGTGTATGTGTACATGCTGATAAAAGTCTGGGTTTGTTTCCTTTGAACATGGGTGCTGGGCAGACACCAGGTCAGATGAATTAATAATGGTTATTAGCTGTGTTTGAACATAGACTACAGGTGAAGTTAATATGATATTTGGGATATCTCTCATTCATTCATGTATTAATTTATTTAGATTCTCATTATCCAAAGCAAAGGAAGCCACTACTCTCCTTCCACACTTGCTGAACAATTTGAAGCAGTCCATTGATGTTTCAACGAGATATCTAGGTGGCTTATTCAAATGTATATGCCTTTAGCTTCAGGAGATTTCCCCTTTTGATCATTTCTCCTTTCTTTCCCCAGAGCACTCGCGTCATTTAGAGCTGATGTGTGCGCTTACTCTAATACGCAGAGGAAACTGTATGGAGACATCACTTCACCAGGGGAACCACTAGGGATATATCTACACCCCATGGATACTGAGAAAGGAATACATGTTATAATACTGCTCAATATGTTATATCTTATCACGGGATTCGACATTTCTGAATACCCTGACCAGTTGAATCTGCTTTGAGCTGATTGGCTGTTGAGGTGTGCGACATCACAGGCTAAGCAGGGCTAATATTTTTAATAATAGGGAACACAGTAAACCACTGGAAAACTGTTTTGGAGGCAAGAATAAAAATAGCAGAGGGAAACTCACCGGGCGACTTTGTTGCTGTGCATTCATTGCCTGCGTCTGTGCAGAATACACTAAAGGGGCGGAGCCAGCATTTTGCCCTGGGTTGTAGGGAGACTGTAAGAGGAAGAAATAAAAAAGATGGACAGAGGAGAAGAGAGTTCATTACATAAAGACCAGAAACTGCTGCAATCAATCACCAGTTATTTCATTAAGACATTCAAAGACAAACTGCATAACAATACAACAGACATCAACTTACTCTGGATGCTGCTAGGAGAAAACGTTTAGGATTGGGGTTTAGGTACTGCGAAGATAATTAGTATCCTCAAGGACAGTAAATCCTGTATTTCGTATTCTTCATCTCCCGTGCAGTGGAGCCTGACAGAGGTGGGTTTAAGCAGATCTGCTTACTCTGCTTCCAGCTGCTTCTGGTTTGGCTGTGATAATTTAAGTTAGAGCTGGCTGATGGCGCTATCTATAGAAGGCTTGTGAGAGACGAGCGCTGCTTCGGGGTGAGGCAGCGGGCCAGCAGGCCGTAACGGTGAAGAGGAAGAACCAGATTCCTCGTAAGCAGAGTCACATACTTTCAGAGAGGCTGAGTCACAGAGGAAACATGATTCTGTTAGAGAGCAGCGAGGCAGCGGGGATGACAGCATCACAACAGCAGCGGACTCACCGCCCGACAGTGAAGTTTTCTTCATGATTGAGAGTATTAAGTAGATTAAGCCATCTGACTGCATTTATGTAGGATTGATCCCAGTAAAACTGTGTCACCAGAGGTTGTAACTAAACCTCAGTTTACACATGATTAAATCTTCGTCACATCATGCTCAGCTCTATTTGTCAGCCGGATTACATAAAAACTACTGGCCGGATTTTCATGAAATTAGATGCAACGGTGAAACATGGGTCAAGAAAGAACAAAGTAGATTTTGGGATCAGGATCAGGGCCGGACTCCAGAAGAAACAGAAGTCCTTTCTATATAATCACGCACATGTTGTAGTAATTGACTGATGCTCAAAATCAGACTGTAAGTAAAAATGCTTTTAGCTTCTCTGCTGCATTCACATTTTAACACTTTGAAACATACATTAAAACTTCACACGCACTCAATGATTCCTTGAGATTCGAATAAAGGTTGAATAAATTAATGAATAAATGTTTGATCATTCTGGTAGTACACATGATTTTTCACCTCTTTACTCCTCTTTTAATTTAAATATTTCCCACTTGTACTTTTTACCAGAGCCATGACTCTGAGCACATGTGTCTTACCATGACTGACAAAGATTTACAACATAAGTAATTGTTGTCAGCTGAGACCTCACATGTCAAGCTCCAACATGAAGAGAGAGAAAAAAACAAACCTACACACTCTAAAGTAGACTGAGCACATGATCATCTATCATGACCTCATGGTGACATAACTTTGGCAGTTGACATACTGTCATGGGATTCCTGTGGGTTCATTTAGACATATTGTTGTTCTACTTCAGTCCAACATTTTGCAGCTGAACAGAAGCTCTGAAAAAAACAAAAGAGCTCTTGCATCCTCATGTTGTACATCCGGATACTATCTCTCTCTTTACATTCCTTGATCGTGGTTTGCTCCACCGCCTCACAGAAACAATGCTCTGTGTTTAAACATATGTTCTCTCACCGATCATTTAGGATTGTTCCAGGTGTTCTACTTTCCTACCATAGTCCTCAAGTCTCATACTTCTGAATGTATGTCCTTATCGTAAGCCGTGCAATAGATCTTAGATCCGCAACAAAGCCAGGATATACGGTTAAGCTCCATTTTGCCTGATGCATGCTGGGACATGCCCCCTCCTGACCCTCATCAGGATTAAACAAACACAGTATACATAATACAGTAGATGCATATCTGGTTGAGAGAGTTTTCAAATAGAATTATGAAACAGTTTGAATCAAATGTACATTTGAATTCACTGAACATTACAGTCATTCAAACATGACTCAAAGATGAATCAGAAAAGAGAAAGTAAACAAGTAAAAGGAGTGACGTAAGAACAGAGGAATATTACTGGTTAGGAACAGGCGACATGAGCAGATTTTATGTTTGTAATAAGCATATAAAATATTATTTTATGTATTTATTTAAATTAAGGTATTCAAATTTATTAAAAGGTAGAATCAAGCTCTCTCGGGTGTTAGGTATAACACAATACATTTTATTTAAATATATGTCAAACATTTCATTGAAACATGTAAACAAAATGATCTCTATGTGTTATTGTGATAACATCTCATTGTGAAATGCTTTCGTGTTGAACTGTCGCCCAGCCCTAACACAAGTGGTACAAAGCATGCAGACAGATGGACAGATCAAACATGAATACGCAGAGAGGATGACGGCGGACACAGTGACAAACTCACCCCTCCGCCTGTCTCCCAGCCCTTAGGGTAGCGATATGGGGAAGCTGTGGGTAATGATACCTGAGAAAGCGTTGCGGGGTGAGCATGACCGGGCGGTGTGCCCGCCAAGCCAGGATGTCCCTTTGTGATGTCATGAGCAGTGTAAGGAGGGCCAGCATGCCTGGGTACCTGCATCACATAAAAACAGAGAGTGTCAGACTTGTGCACACACAGACACATACACACAGACACATACACACAGACACACACTACAAGGGAACAGTGGTGGCAGGATTCTACAGGTCATTAGTCTTCCCTCCTGCTGGGGAATGTAAATTAAGCGCTCAAGCTGTAGGATTAGCCCCTGAATGTGTGTAGAGGTGAAGACCTGGACTGTGCATGGGTGTTGATGGGGTTAGCGCAGCCCGACTCTGGCCTCTTCTGCTGGGCCCAACTCTGCTGTGCAACGATGTCTAGTTGTCATATGGCAAAACTAGGTCAAGTAATCATGTTTCTCATCGTGCTCTTCTGAGACGGATAGGGTGCACCTGGTAAAATAGATACAACTCACTCTGAGTCATGCTAAACAGACGTGGTAAATATGGGCCAATGCACGGTTTGGGAAATGCCAGCCGAGGCGGCAGCCAGCAGGAGAATGGATGCAATTTGACTCAGCTTAGTCTGTGGTGTGGCAGGATGGGCCTTGGCTGCAGCAGCAGTGGGGCTGGCACCACTGAGGGTGCTGCTTGCTGCTGCAGCAGGCCTGACACAGCAGGGACAGAGACAGGATACTGCAGGACGAGAAGCAGGAGAAATGGACCCATTGCAGTCCTGCCTCTGCAACCCCTCTGTTACTACCTCCAAAGACGGTACAGAGAGGGGATCACTTCATCCCACAAATACGTCGCCGCGTCATTCATAATGAAGGCGAAACATCACAGAGATGTAAATATTGCACCTTGAAACGTCAGTCTAAATAGGGCTGTACTTACATTCAGAAATGCACACACACAGAGCTGCTGCGCCTTGCCGTCCACACCGTTTTAAACTAATCAAGTTCTAACGCTGTTACTACCTCTGACGCCTGCACAACGGTGCAACAAGGCCAAAATTTAGGTAATGTTGTTTCATCTTTTTTTAAAACGAGAGCCTAAATGAGAGGTTGTTTTAGAAAAAGTTATGTGAGAAAATCAAACCCAAACAGTGAAGTGCGAGCAAAGAGTGTAACGTAAATCAAAGCTAGAAAAATCATCAATGTTTTCCATCACGTTTGCTTTTTGTAAAAAACACCAAAGGGAGAAAATTCATGTGAAAAAACCTGACGCTCAGGAGGTTAATAAGAGTCTAATTTCAGTGTACTGAGCCAAGCCATTCAATAAAGGCAACTACCGGTTTATCACATCCATCCAGAGCTCAACAACATATGTAGCTCTTAAGAACAAAATTAATTTAACATTCTCAAGTTAAGGAATTAGAATCAGTTTCAGGAATTAAGAATTGTATCAGAATGCCTGAGACTCGTTTTCTCTCTCTACACAACCGAGCCATTAAGGCTTTTACAGCTTTGTATGCACAGCTAACATATCCAAATTTCATTACATATAAATCTAGCATCGTCTACAGGCAGCAATCTGTACCGCCTCTATTCTAACTATCCCCGCTGCATCTTTCCATCTCCTCTGTGTGGCCCACTTCCCTCAGATGACCTGGGATAAAACAACTAATCTAGCTGCTGTTGCCAGGGGAGGAGCCTGCGCTGCTTCAGGCGAGTGACTGATTCTGAGGACATACAGAGTGATGGGGTGGGGGAGGGGAGGCTGTATAGGAGCTTTACATGAGGCGAGGGGATTGAAACAAGAGTGTAAAGACCCTCATATCCAGCGCACGGAACAAGTGTTTCAAGCTGTGTGCATGTGTGCATGGTGTATTTCCACAAGTGTCGTCATTGTTGCCTTGGAAGAAATTTCAGAGCTAGAAAATCTTGTAAAAACTGACGGTGATGCCAGCACTGTAGTTTTGCTGTGGATACACAGTGTTGGAGCTGTGCAGTCTTATCTTCAAATACACAAAGACTTTTATTGTGCAACGAGCTGCTGTCTAGTGTACCTCCACTTTACAGGAGTTTTATCATCACTGGAAAACATCCTCTATGTGCTGTCAAATAAACAAAGCTGTGATTTTCTCTTTAGTGTGCTGCTATGCTTGTAAAAGCTCAAGATTAAAAAAATAAAAACATATGCGACAATATTTTCCACAATTGACCGCTCTAATGTAAGCTTTACAGCACTGAAGATGTCTCAGCCGAAGCCTCAAGTTGTGTTTGTCAGCTCAGTTCATAGAAAAATCCATAAAATGTACAGTGAATAAGAAAATCTATATTCTCTCCTCATGATTCCTGCAGTAAACATTATTTTACAAGATGTATCACAATGGATATAGAGATATCCACGCCTGTAACGGTAGGATCATTACTAATTGGTATCTTCAAAGGCTACAAAGGCCTCTGACAAACCGCTGGCCTCCAGGTAATTGTACATTCTGCTAATCAGAGTAGATCAGTGCAGTAGAGCAAATCGGAGTCCTCAACATGTAATGCTGTACAGCCGAATGCCCACTTGCAACGGGTGGCATGTCAGGCGAGTATCCTCAGACGAGAGCAGAGGTGCCATGTCAGGTTTGTTTTTGTCTTGGGGGAGAAAGGGTGCGGCAGGTCACTGAGGACAAAACCATTACTAACACCCCTGGGTTCATCCAACGACAGCAAATGAAACATGTCTACCTGAAGCCCCCCTAACTCACATGACGGTGCCCCCCCCCCAGCAGGTTGAAATAAAACAACATGAATCATGTGAGTGTTATTATAAAGGATCTGGTGCAGGAAATGTTAATTAACTCCTGAAGGAGAGAGTGAATGGCAGAGGTCCCCTGAGGTGATGAATCTCCACAGCAGACCTCTCATGGTCAGATCGCAGCGCTGTGGCTTAACAAGCAGGCTTTCATCTTTTTGCAGTAAAAAAAAAAAACCCTCAAACGCATGTTTACTGTGCCTATAAAGAGCCGCTGTACAGATTTGTTTACACTCTAAAAAAAAGAAGAAGCATTTCTTAAAGCCAAAAAAACCTCATTACATGCACAAATATAAAATAAAGAATTCGAGGGGTGAATGGTTTTATAGGTACTACAAACCGTTATGGCCAATTTGAGCAGAAAATACACTCATTTCCAAGTTTCCTACAAACACTTGAGGGGGTGATATTTTTATCAAGGGTTATATGCTTAGAAATAATACAGCAATAGCTGTTGCACTCCAGAGGACACGTACCACAGGAGGCTGTATTTAGCATTGTAGCATAAAGCTGACATCATAATCAGAGCGTTATTATAGGTATGTTTCAATAAATGAGTTTGAATGCACATTTTTAAAAACTGTGAGCTGTATGGAAACTGTTAGATCTTGTAAAGCTTTTTCAACAGGGCAAAACAATGATTTACACCCACTGGAGGTCTTTAATACTTTTTTTCCTAAAAGTAATGGATGTGCTTCAGTTGATCTAGAAAAGCATTTGATTAATAAGTCATGATATAGCAAACTAATATTTACATGCCAGATCACACTAATGATCAGCTGACCATTGCTGCATGCATAAGAATCATTTGCATTCATGTTTCTCCTCGTCCAGTCGGCAAATAAACAATTCAAACTTGTGCAACAGAAACTCATTCTTGAGGACATCTCTGCATTCTTCTCCTGTACATGGTTGCAATCTCTTCTTCTACTGTGTTGGATGGTTAATTACTTGAAATGTACTTATTTTGAAAATCAGGGCTAATACCGCTACAAACGTTTCAAAATAAATCAGCCGACTGCCAATTCTGATACCGTATTTTTCCATCACTTCAAAAAAAAAAAAAAAAAATTGTTGCCATTTTTCTAATGACGTACAAGATAGGACGCATTTTAAATTGTTGTTTGTAATCCCTCTTCTTGAATTATCACTTGAGCATGTCTCACAAATTGCAAGTCGCTTATCTTACCCAGAGACGGTGTGAGACTCCCACACTGGTTGACCATGAAAGAAAATCAGTTTGTCCAAGACATGACCTCCTCCGGCCCAATAAGAAAAACACCTATCTGAATCAGCAGATAGGTTTACTAAACCAGCATTAGGTGCTAACATCGATATTGGAAAATACCAAAGTTCAACTGAATCATCGGTGCATCCCTATTAAGTACAGCTACACCGTCTATTCTGCAAACTTCAGACAAAATGAACCTTAGAGGTGGGCCAAGTTCATTTCTCTATGAAAACAAGATGAATAATTATGTATACAGTTATATACATATTTAAACCTTGAATCAACACCTTTCTAAAACAGAAAATAGAATATTTGTCCATAAGGGCACATTAGTTTAAATTAAACCAGATGTACTTAATAATCTGGCAACTGGATGTTTTTTGTTAAAGTCCTATATTATGGTATGTAATTCAAACTGTGCTTCAGAAATGTTTGTGTTTATTCTGTATCTATAGTGTGCATTTCCTATACATGCACTGCAGCAAACAGGTGGAAATGTCTGTCAGAGGGGCAGTGTGCACACAGTGACTCACGCTGTATACTGCAGTAACTCCAGGCTGTGTGGGGAAGATCCTCTCGTCCAGTGATTGCTGAACCCGTGGGATTCTGGAGAGACGTGCATTAAGGTAAACTAAACACAAACACAGAGCAGGAAGCTTTTCATGCTGAATAAGATAAAAGCAGCAGGTAGCAGTTATTAATGTAGGAGACACAGCTCAGTCTAAATCTGGCTGATTAAACATCGTAATGGGACTTGATTTAGTGTTTCAATTCCTGTCAGCAAACTCTGACATAACTGTACTGAAATGACTTCCATTCTGCGCTTCTATGATTTTATGCAACACATTCAGCTGCTTCACATCCAAAGGGTTTTCCTCTAACCCCCAAAGATCACATAGTTGGATTTCAAGGATCCCCCAGCCGCCCCCCCCCCTCCCCCGTGTCTGAAATGCCCCATCTCTAAAAGTACACTATGTACCTTCAGCCTTTTTGCAAGTGTTAAAGGGAAAAGCTGAAATGGATTTCTGGACCACTTCAGGCAAGGGCACCAACAGAGCAGAGGATCATACAACTATAAAAAGGAACGAGGAAGATACAAAATCTCTTTGCTCATGCTAAAGGTGAAAAAAAAATGAAAAAAAAGAAGTCTTCTCACAATATTTGTAAAAAGCTTAGACACCCCAGGCTTTATAAAAAACTGCTGGCACAGACAGCAGAGCAGAAGATATCTTTCTGTAAGGCTTTAGACAATACTAGAATAATAAGACTCACTCTGGAGACAACATAAAAGAAGAAAGAAAAAAACAAACGAGGGAACGCGTGATCGCTACATGAAAGAGGGAAGCCCTGTGGTTAGTAACCTGCTCAGGCAGTTGTCTGTGACATACAGGCTCACACACTGATGGTCACATGGTTTATGGGAAGCCCAACGTCTGGCTCTCTTCCTCTCAGCCAGATCACGCCTCCTTTTTTCCCTTGAGGGCCGGGATGTACAAGAAAAGAAGCATTTTGTCCAACTTGTTGTCAAACCACGGTGGGTGAAAGTTGTTCCGGTTAAACGCAAAAGCGGGATGAAAGCTTGCACAAAAGAGAGATATCAGTGCACATTTTCTTGGTAGAAATTCACTGTGGCTCTGTTGTCTACATGAAAGGGGCCACAAATAGTTGTGTCAAAACAAAAATAAAAAAAAGAGGAGAAAGAAGCAGGTTTGAGTAACAGATTGCTGGTTTAGATAATAATGGTAGAAGTTGTCAGTAAAGCCTATGTTGCATTCTCCCCCCCCCCAAAAATTATCCAACCATCAAACAAGTTCTTCTTGCCGTGTAAAGTGACCCCTAAAGCCTTTCTTTTTTATGCTGCTTATGCCCACAGGGGACCGTCATCTCTCTTGGCCCCCTGCCCGCATCGCTACTCAACAAAACAAGGGGGAGTGAGGGAGATAAGGAAAGAAAAGATTCATTTAACACACAAAGTAGCGCTGTGATTGAAAAGGGAGAAGCACAGCAGGAAGCATAATCTGTTTCATTGTCGGGGAGTTCGGAAAAACAACACGTCCACCCTCCCACAGTATACATGCACACAGACATTAGGAGTAATTAGAGGCACACACACAAACCGAAACTTCCAAGGCAGGTGAGGGGAGGAACTATTAAACTGTGCGGGGGCAGCACAGTGTTATAGATTTGTATAATTGGTTATGATTAGGGATGTGACAACACCACCATTTTAAACTTAGATTTTGAACTAGTAAAAATAAAACTACATCGAGAGCTCTTTCAATACTACAGCAACCGAAATAGAAGTTCGATGCACCCAATGTTGGATTATATTTCATGTATTTAAACAAAAGTTGCAAGCAACTCCTGCACAGTGTCTACACTGCACAAATAGTGTATGTTGCCAAATGGATTTTTTTTTTTATTCAGTACTTGTCAATACCTTTGATTGACATTTCCTCACAGAGACAGGAAATGTTGGGGAGAGAGAGCAGGGGACGACATGGCAGCAAAGGGCCGAGGTCGGAATTCGAACCCACAGCCGCTGCAACGAGGATCACAGTCTCTGTGAATGGGGCGTGCAACATAATCACTCGGCTATCGACGCTCCTGATTGTCTACATTTTTTTAAACATGGGGGTGGTAGTGGATCAAAAATGTTGACAACTGGGGCGCCGGTAGCCTAGTTGTTTGGCCGTGCGTCACAGCTACAGAGGCTATAGTTCTCCAAGCAGGTCTAATCAGTTTAGTTCTATCACTTTTCAGTGGTTCTTTGGGGCTTTTCTGTGGCGCACAAATCCAAGGCAACAAAACGCTACATTGGTGAGAAAAGTTCAGCTGCAAATATTCCTTGACCCAGTTTTGTCGGGTGACTTACAGACTGATACAGGAGGGGAGTGGAGGGGAAGGGGAGGTTACCCAACAGAGAGTAACAGAGAGGCAACTTGATCTGTCTGCTCTACATGACCACTGGTCGGCGGGGGTCAAACTGTGTGAGGGACTCTAAACATAAAGAAAAGCTGTGATATGTACACAGGTGGAATCAGGGCTGAGCATGACCAAGCCATAGGTGTAACTCCAATTCAAAATCGACTGTATCAAGGGCAGGAGAGCTACAATCGGGATAAAAGAGACATTTAAAATCGTCCAGCAATTCAGCAAAATGATTAAAACATGAAATGATTTCAATGTTTTAGAAAAGTGTTGGATAACAGGAGTTTTTAAATCCTAACTGACTCAATAACTCGAGTTGCGACAAGCATGTAACTGATACCACACATAACTTGTTTCAATCGTGCACGCACTATGAGATTTGAAAGCGACAGAGAATGCGGTCTTACAGGGAAGCAGATGTAAACACAACATGGATGTATGCAGTGTAACAACTAATGTTGGTAATAGTTTGCTGTGAGAAAAAAAGATAAGCTTAACGAGCCTGGATGAGAAATATTTGGTCAACACTTTTTAGCTCCAATAGGAGGTGAGATTTTAACTGTCGGTTTAATTCTCTGTCAACAGTTCGCCTTAAAGACTATGATATTTACTGTTGCTTAGAAATGCAGTCAGCTGCTCCATCTCCTTTTAGACTTCTGTCTCATTGGATATTGTGGAGATATAATCAAGTTATTAAAACATAAATATCAAACCTGCAAGAGTCTAAGAAAGGTCACAAAATAAATCCGTAAAACACCTCAAATGACAAGATGATCTTGGCAAACATCAGTACTGACCAAACTTTTCCTCCGCTTCAAACCGCCCTAAACCCAACATGCAGTTTAGTCTCTCTGAAGTCCAGCGCCTGTGGTCATCGTAGATTTGTGTTATACCACAAGCTAGCAGGAATTCTGTTTGTGCCACATTGCCTTTAGCAAGCTTTTTATACCACATTGTTTGTTCATTGATGAACAAAAATCTATCCAAAGAAACATTTAGTTTCTGACAACCTGTGGTAAAATTTCACTATGATACAAAAGATTCTTCAATCTTTTGGCTACAATCTCTGTATAGATTTGATATGCATGGGGTTGTATTAGTCTCTTACTTGTTTTTTGTAGTTACAAGCTTAGCTCCTGATGATAATATTCCGTTGCTCTGATTAAAAGCTTTAAAAAAAATACTCACATCCAGGGTCCTAAATTAACAACCGCCAAGCAACAAATGCAGGTATATTTTCCCTTTGGCGAGTACATTTCAGGGCTATCTGCCACATTGCGAGTAACGGTTTGTACAATAGTTGTCATGTACCAGTAAGCAGAATTTAAGGCGTGTTTGGTGTAGCTGCAGCTTTATTCTCCAGCTCCTCTGTCTGCAGGTCAGAGTGTCATGGGGGCGCACGACCACACCAACATACACTGATGCACACACACACACACACACACACACGGGGACAACAACCACCACCACATGCTAGTGTCCTTTAGCGTAACAAATATGTGATCCGTACAGACTAAGTCCTATGTTTGAAAACGCACGTGATCCGGTCAAACAGTCAGCTTGACTTTTCTGTATATGAAGCAAAAACACAATTTATTATTTTGGCCTGTTAAAAGATTCTCCATCTGTGATTTTTTTCATCTACCCACCTCCTTTGCCGGTGAGTCAAAAAGTTAATTTTGCACCCTACTCACATCCATAACCAGGTGACAACACTCTGCAAACTAATGTCCTCCTGAGGGTTAGGGTAAACTCACATACATGTCAAACTCCTTCATATAGAGGGCAAAGTCAGCAGATGGGTGCAGTCCCTCTTCAATTGAGCCCTACTGCGTGTATCAGGCTCAAGCATGAAGTGGCTGCTGCACTAATTAGACATTATTCATTAGAGTTCTATTAATTTTCTGCTTGAGCAGAGAGGGCAAGCACAATGTCAACGTAAAGACTACCAGCAGGGATATAACTCCGGGGAATAGCAGTGTCAGTGTGTGGCTGAAAAATTACCTGCTGCCACATCCCACTGTACAGTATTAAACCAACAGAGTGATTCTTATTTGACCTCCATAAGGACTAAGTAGAAACACAGTGCAGCTGACATCAGGTCAACAATTCGTTTTCAGATTGCTTTTTAAATTTAAAAAATAATTTGGATTCATACTATCTGCTATGCTTTCCCTCATACTTTTTCTGGACACAGAGCAAGGAGGATGTGGGTACAGGGCACAATCTGTAGTAGACGGATAGTAGGGAATTTAATATCATGTGTTTTCAAAAGAGCGCCGTTGACATCGACAGCGCCTTTCTGAAAAATTTAAACATTTTCAACAAGTAGTGCTCGGAGCGGCTGCACAGAAAGGAAGAGTGCTCAGAAAGAAGATGCCGGGCGCTGCTTCTTTCTACAGGCATCCCCTGCTGCTGCAAACGCTCTGTCCTCATTGAAAACATTTTTTTAAAAGACACCGCAGTCAGAAAATAACACTAGGTGAACACAGGGCCTTATGGAGGATTGAGGGTACGTGATCCCCAATTAGCTACACTTTGAGTATGTAAGCTACTCGACCTCAGCAGACATCTGACGACAGCAAGCCATAGTTCTCTTATGACTTTGTGAGCACGACAAACAGCTCCCATTGCACACAGGGTCCATATCGCTGAAACAAGACAAGGCTGCCATG